TCCAAATGAATTACTGACGCATCACTGATCGCATTGATGCAACTTAATAGCCACAGGTTTTTTTTTAAAGGCAGGCGTGTCAGAGCAGCTAGTTGTGATTATTCATGAGTGATGCTGGCGTGGACTCCAGTTTGGATCCCCAGCACTGATTTGAAAGGAGAAAATCAATTGTAAATGTAATCCCTGATGATTTAAATTGCCATCATGTGCAGAGGTTGCATGGTAAATGCCTTTTGTACCAGCCTGGCCTCTAAACGTTTCTGTCTTATAGTATAGCCCTAATGTCTGCAACTGCACAACATTCATCTTGATAATGGAGCCTGGCTGGATTTGTCCCCCATAAGGAGCCCAACTTAGAGTTAAAGGAAAACATCCAGCCAGCAGGCATGTGACCACGTAATTTTAGCCAGAGAGGCCTACGCTTCCTCTGTTTGCTGTCATTATGCCCTCAGTAAGCCACATAAAGGCCCAGCCATCCTGTCCAGTTTAATGTGGAGATCACTGCACTCCTCGCCGCTGCGCCTGATTGGCTATTATCTAAATGAACCAATGTTCTATATCAGGGCTTGTGACTACATAACTACCCTGTTAATATTCAGAGGAAGTGCTGGAGGTCAGGGAGCTCTCAGCCGCTTGACCTCTGGGTCGCAGGAACCTGAGCCGCAGTGTGGCACATGGCAATGAATGAGCCCTAATGATTTAGATGGTATCTGTTACACAGCCCAGGGAAGCCAATCTCTCCGGGCAATCTGGCCGTGATGAAAAAGCAGGGGTTCGAAAATAAACCCCACTTGTTTCAGAGCGGGGTGTTTGCTGCACGTCACTGGATTCAGTTCGAGCTCCAATAATCACACACAGATGAGCACACAGCAGCCGTAGATGCATTTTGTTGTACAGGGAAGTGAGTGCAGGAAATGCAGCCAATCATTTGGACTGTTTGTGTTAACTCAGTGCTTAAGTGACTTCAGCACCTTGTTACAGAGGCCTCATGAAGGGAGCTATCGCAGGAGCCTCTCCAGAGGATTAAGGGAGCATTTGCCTCAGTAGGGCTAAAAACAGGCCATTTGTGCAGATGTTTAAGACACTTGTTGATGTGTGGTAAGGCTTGAGTTTCTCTAGATTACTCAGGTAAACATTGAGCTTATGCAGAGCAACAAAAGCTTGACTTTAAAGAGCGCTTTCAAACTGTTTCCCTCCATACTGCATGCAAACAATGAGGGAGGTCATGATATCACCACTAACACCACCAACAGCCCATCTCCAACTGGAATATCATTTACAAAAAACGAATTAATTATATATTGGCAAGTATACTCATATAATTTTCTATTACGAACACATAACATGACCAAACTATTTAAAATCTCATTTGTTTATAAAAATTCGTACACAAAGAATATTCAGTGATGTCTAACGGTTTAAAAATAATCATAATAAAAGCGGTCGTTAATTTAAAAAAACTATAGAAAATCAAATGTGTTTAATTTGAAATAGGAAAAATGGTTTAATACACAACAAATGAAATAAATATTTTTTAACAGTTAAAGTCTTTTAAATGATGTAAACCACATGGAAGATGTGGCCTGATTTATAATGTCACCAGTCAAAAGATATGCATTAATAAAACACATCTTAGGCACTTGATATGATTGTTTGTTAGTTATTGGCAGTATTTTCTGCAGATCTGTGACAAGAAGCAATGTCTGGTGTTGAACAACCATCATTAGCAGCACCTTCTCATCACACCACAAATACTGCGTCATATTAATAACAATTCATAACTTCATTAGCATTAAGGCTGTCTCTGCTACAGTCACTAACACTTCAGTCAGGACTACAGGTGACTGCAGAGCTGCCCAATGCTGACATGTGTTCTGAAGACAAATAATGATCCAGGAGGTGTGTTATTAAGAAAAGGAAAGGCTTTATTGATATACCTGAACACATGCAGGGAATAAGTGTTTTTGCTGTATATGTCTGTCAATCTACCATTTACATTTACTAATTCTGGCAATTATACCTAAATAGATCCTTAAAATAATGCATTTAAATATGTATATATTCCCAGACAGAATGATCAGGTTATTACTATAGAATTATTACTAGCTAGGAATATTTGATAAGTACATTAAGTTAACGCTATCTCATCAGCTTGCTCAATTTGTGTCTGTCTCTTGACGGGGATTAATTATAGGGCAGTAATTATGACAATGGTTGGAGTAAAACGGTCTGGTCCATTAGTGATGCTTTCTGTAGTGTTCCCTTTCCTCTAGTGTGTTCTATAGTGCATATCAATGGTCTGCAAAGGCTAAAATCCCTGTGTTCCCTCCAGAGGGAGTTTCTCCTCCCCCCCCTGCCTGAAACATGCTTCTATTCTATTGCTATGGGCAGGACATCTCTAAGCTGTTGGCCAATCACAACATAGCTGGCCAGCATCTACTTTGCACGGATGCAAAACAAGAAAATGACAAGGCAAAAAAGGTAGACTTTGAAAAGTGTGTTGTAGAAAATAATTTCAACACTTACTTCTTTGAAATAAATACTATCTTCTGCTAGCTACCACACAATGACTTCTACTTCTACTACAATCAGGAGTCCTACCTGCATCTCATTTGTGCCTTCTGCTTTTTCTTTCCAAAGATTTTGGGCATACACATAAGAAATGTAATTATGGAATAATCATTAGTAACTGCGAGCGATGCTTTTTTATTTCTTGCCTTAATACAACAATGATGGAGTTACTCAGTAATAGTAAAACATACATTATTCAGCTGTCAGCAGGTGATTTAACCATGGTTTTGTATTACATTATCAATATGTAGGTAGTCCAATTTGCATTGTTGGGCAGAATTAGAAACGTAAAAACATGGTTAACGTCCAAAGGTTTAATAAACTCATTAAAAAAAAACGTTGGTGTGCTTTTGACACGTAGAGGGAGTGTTCTCTGCAGTCTGAGAATTAAACAACTTTTCCAGCAGGCCTTGATCATGCTCACATTAATAATGCTCTCAGTTGGGTGGGCTCTCACTTCACTCGTGACAGTCATTTCCTTGATGTGCGTCAAAGATTAACGATGAAGTGTTGTTTTCCACTTTCAAACTTTCAGGCTCACCAAAGGTTAAGGAAACATGGCACCATAACACAAGCTTCAGTGTTTGTCGTTTACTTCTCCATCATCCATACTTCCATGTTATGCTGGCACAGCACTGTGTTTTGTTATGACATTGCTTTTTAAAAGAGCTGGAAAATCTATAAGCACTTAAATACAAATAAAACAAATGCATCTACCTGTTGGAGCCGCAGTATGTGACATCCCTGCTCAAATACACGCACCATGAGTCAAATCATGTTATACTTCCAGGAATAAAGGGTGTGTGTATGTGCGTGTGTGTTAGTGTGTCTGTTTGTGTGGGTGTGATTGTGTGTTTGTGTGTGTATGTGCGTGTGTGTTAGTGTGTCTGTTTGAGTGTTTGTGTGTGAGAGAGAGAGGACTTCCTATGGTTGACAGAGCAGGTAATCCACGCAGAGGCAAGCAGCTTTAAACAGCTGCAGGTCTGCCACCTTTCATCAGTGCCCCCCCCCAGACAGCCTACAAACTGTCAGTAAGGCCGTGGCCCCGGGGCCCCTACTCATTCGTAGATCTCAAGCTTTACCAGTCTGTTGGCAGAGGAATCACCACACATTATTACTTATGACACCCCTGAACTCAGAAGAATGGGATGCATAAATGGCAGAGCAGGGGGGGGTTCTACCAAATTCTTTGAGTAACTTTGCATCCCTGCACGGCCACACAAAGGCAAAGCTAACCTGACATTCCTGTGTAATTAACACATCTCTCACATGGCACGTTTCTCTTGACCACTTGGGACTCCCATACAGGACCGGAGGCTTTTCAAAGCAACCCGTTCACATCTGTGATCACTGAGCCACGCAGCGTGGCCATGAAGGCAGTTAGCCTGGAACACTCTGCAGGCATTGTTTTTAATACACTGACATTTAAATTGTGATCCCACTTGCCCTTTGGAGGGGAACAACTGCACTGCTGGAAGTGGCAAAGCAACTAGGAGGGAAATACTTTTTTTCCTAACATTAAAGCATTTTGCATTACATTTGTTACAACATTCTAAAATTGGACACATTCATGAGAAATGATGGACACATTTCTCACTTCTTTTTCAGTTCACTTGTTTATCTCACAATGGTAATTTGACCACATATTAATAGTAACTGCTTTGATTTGGACATCAAATGTTAAATTAGAGCACAAAGAAAAGAGGCTACGTTTAATTCCAGTGAAATCAGTGTCTCTGAGGACACGCGGTTTATTGGCTGATGTCGGAGCTTGTGCTAACAATTAGCTAACAATAACAACTCACTTTGATGCTAACCAGGGTGGAAACAGGGTCATGACCTTTAACACAATCCCAGATCTGATGGAGAAATTAAATGAAACATCAACATGGGAAATGCACATTCCCATAAAGATCGCCATAAGTGTCCAATCAACTTTGTCCTGATGCATTTTAATTAGGGGGTATACAAATGATTATTAATAGTATTAATGTGTGGAGACTTCACATAACTTCGATTTTCACAGGATCAGTTCAGAAATGCATTAAGTAATTGTTAACTGACTCATTTAGTTTATTGTAGGAGACATGTGTTGAATGTGCAACAATTCATTTTCTTAGAACGTCCTCATTAATGTTCACAGCCCGTCTTCAACCGGGCTTCCCTTTCCTCTTCAAATGATATGGACCAACACGTGGCTTAAAAATGAACTGAGTGTGTTCTAACTTTGAGTTCTAATATGCAGATCATACTCAAATATTGCTGCTCCATGTGTGCTGTGTATATATAATATATAATATATATATTTACACAAATACATAAACCATGGAGACGTGCCGTCTGACGCTCAGACTGCCCAGCTCAGTCAGAGGAACACGAGGATGTATGTGAACACTCGTGCTCAGGATGGTGTAAAAAACTGGAGAGCACTTTTACGTTAATACATTTTTAATGGTGTTGGCTTTGGCTTGGTTTTAATTAATGACTTGGCTAAAGCAGCTGCTTAAGCTCCGGGAGACCAGACCCTGAAGTGAGTGCAGAACCTGGATCACTTGATGCATCCTCAAAGCAGGAAACTTGTTTAGTCGTCAAAAAGACGCCGTCACGTTGCAAGTGGGAGAGGAACACATTACAAGGTAGGTTTTACACAGTAACTGTATTGCAAAAGTAAACAAGGCGGACAATCATATCATTAACAACAATATGTTTGTTCCTCAGGATTTCTCGATGTCTTAAAAAAGTGAGCAATGATCTCGAACAGAATAGTCTAAATACAGAAAAATATAGATTCAGGTCAAAAAGGATTGTAAATACTTACTAGTACTGCAAATAACAGTTAGGGAAGACAGCTACAACAGGTATGATCCACTGTCTGGCACAGCCGATGCATTTAATAGGTCGGACATAGAAAAATAAATCACAACAAAACAACACAAATATTGTACAAATAAAAACCTGAAAATATGCCCCGCTGAAAGTTCGATGGGAGCGCATCTCATCTGTGAGAAGTGCACGCATGGAGTAAATGTGTGACTAAAACATTGCTGCTATACAGTATACAGCGCATTACACTGAACATGGCCTGACCAGAAGAAAGGGGTGTGACTATAACTGGAATATTACCAATAAGAATAATAACACATTGGACATGTTTCCTATCATAACATTGACATTAAGACAGTATGGAGATAAGAATGTGTGCTAATGGAGATTCTGGTGTGTAAAATGTTCCTGATGTCCCCTAACACACGCATCCTAGAAAAGAAGAAGGAAAAACAACAACTGTCTGCTAAGGGAAATTTCACAAGTTGATGAAATAATTAAAAATAATATTCTTAAGGATTTTACAAGTATAAAAAGCTACAAACATTAATAAATTACATCACTGACACATAAACAATTCACAAGGTGCTAGTAAAATAATTCCGAAAGCCTTCATGATACTACAAGTGGAACAAGAGGCTGGTCGCAGAAACACAGTTTCCTTTTTTCCTGTTATATCAATGTCCTCCAAGCTGTGTCTCTTGTTCAAACAGAATCACAATACAATTAGCTTTGTGTATGTAAGGCCATATGACAATACAATGTATTATTTCTTCAGTTGTTTTCCAGACAACACCTTTAAATCTAATGGGGGTTCAAAATGAATTTCTGCCTTTAAAAATGTTAATACAAATCTAAGTAAAGCAAATTAAAACAAAAGACATTTGGTGGAAATGTAGAATGAAGCCTTAAGGGAAAGGAAGGATAGAAAAGCAGTCATTTAACAGGTTATGTACAAGCTACATTCTATAAACTGTACTGTGTGAAGGTGCTGCCTGGGAAATCAAGAGAAGAGAGAAAGTATCCCCATGTGACTGCACACCTGACATAGATGAGGCTTATCATTGGCTACAGCGCCACCTACTGTCGCACATCCTATGCTTTTCATGTCCAGACACTTGTGCTTTACAGTTGAAGTAGGCTTCCTGTCTATGACTCCAATCCAATAAATACTTAAGTGTTAACATAAAGAGAAAACTGCAGGGGGGGGGGGCGCAATCATCAGTGTGGCAATGATAAGCTGCATCCATATAGGAGAAATCCCCATACCCTGCCTCAAGCGCACATGCAACTTAATACATGCAAGGGATACTTTCAAATCCTGGAATGACTGCAATGTATTTTTACTTCATCTGTTTGCAACCCCTGATAAACTGACAGCTGTAGTAAAATGAGACATGTTCTCTTAAAAAATATTTATAGTAGGTTCTGTACATCTTAATATCTGAAAGTTATAAAGTATAAGTAGAGGCAAAAACCTATTTGAGTGATGTTCTTCATAGAAATTGAAAAATGCATGATCTTGGGGGGGGGGGGGGGGGGGGGGGGGGTCCGGATGGAGTCCCAGTCCGGCAGGACTACAGGAGGAGCTTTCCATTCCGATGGATCTTTAAAATCTTTCCAAGTCTCTGTTTGGCTGTTGCCATGCCTTTCTTTAGCCGCTTCGCTGTGAAGAGAAGAAGACAAGGAGACAAGGTGAGTGTTCCGCTGCTCTGATCACCTCCACTTCAAATACTATAAGGTCAACACGGCTTTGTGTCCTGGCCCATAAGTGCCACCAACTGCCCGACAGTGGAACAACATGATGTGTATAATAACAGATTGTTATATGGAGGTCATCATGTTACTGATGCTGCTTCCAACAGAAAGGAGGGGGTTACTTGTTATTCTCAGATCACTGCATGTAATTACATGCCGGTATTAAGTGACTGCACTAACCTTCAGCACCAATCATTTACACAATGACGACACACATCTCCAGCTCTTTCTCATGTCTAACTAGATGAATATACTTTGCACCTGTTCATTGATAAAAGTCACTAATTCCATATTGTATTCCACTGACTGTAGGAAGGCTTAGTCTATACTCGTTTTTTATTTGTGATTGGAACTTTTATTCATCATGAATGTTTGTAATGTCTGCTTGCCTGTTTTACTGACTCACAGACTTTAATTATGTTACCAGTTACTTACACTTCTTGAGAAATGATTGGGACAGTCTTCTAGGTTTGATAAATGTCTCAAAGATCAGAAAACAAGCCAACCTTAGCATGCTAATATTAGCTTATTAGCACAACTGCAAAGGGTCTTAGCTATTGGTCTCCGATGCTGAGGCAGGCTGGAGGATCAGCTGTTGTTAGCGTTGGTCACGTGGAGGGCAGCTAGTTCGATAGCACGGCTAACAAATCCACACATAACGGCTCTGAACATTTGGTTCAGGCTCACCTTTGGCGTCTGCTGACACCACACGCTCCACCTTGGCCATGCTGCTGCTTGTGGTGCTCATGGAGTTGCTGCTGTTGTTGGGAGAAGAAATCGAAGGTCGCCTTTGGCTCAGAAAAACGCCGGGCGCCATGGGCTGTGGCCCCCCTGGCGACTTTACTGTTCCTGTGTTGAACTCAGGGTCCGTCAGGCTGCCGTCGTCCACATTGTGCTCCGGCGAGCTGCTGTCCTGAGAGGCTTTCGGTGGCTCCTCTATTACTATTGCCTTCTTTTTGGTGCTTTTCTTCTTCTTCTTATTTTTCTGCTGCTCCTCCTGTTGACGCATACATATGGTTGAGCAATGCTTATAGGAATAGTTGCTGTTGTTATGTAAAACTATTGAAGTGGCATACCTGATGAGAAAGCTTTGCTGCAGCTGCGGCCAGCCCCGTCTCTATGGAGGCCACGCGCGCCCCGTCTCTCGCCGGCCTCTCCTGCCGAGGAACCGAGGGTCCTACCCGCGCTTAAATCACACCCATTCGGAGGTTTAGAACACATATGCCTTTTAGAGTAGAACTTCCATTTTCAGCAATACAAGAATTTACCTGTCGGGCTGTAGGGAGTGTCGTCACTGCTTTTTCGTTTTTTTGATCTGGATTTGAAAACCGGATTATCCTCTTCAGACTCCAACGAGGGATAAACTAAAACCGAAAGATGCAAAGCATTACAGACAAGATGGGCGGGTACGTTTCCGATGAAAGGATGTAAGCAACTTAACAGTACCGGCCAATCATGTCACAAATGTAAAACATTGAGTGTTACTAAAGTGCACTTCTTTCTGTTTTCCATGCATGTGAACTTTCCACTGACAGCATGCAGGACAGCTGTGAGACAGCTGTGGACTGCACAGGAGAGCTCTCGTGTCTGACAATAGGATAATCAAGATAAAAAATGGCCTGTTTACAAAGGAAGAAATGAGTGCCAGTGCTTCACACTGGCCTGAAGATTTGTGATTCATGCAACTAATTAGACCCAAATTAAAAGTTCAAAAGGATGTAAATGAACGATTGGCAGCTCATGTTAATGGCTTACTAACAAGCTGAACAACTGTTAGGATTGGACTCACAAAGAAAACACTTCAAAGAAAAAAAAACACAACTTGGAAAAACACGAAAGGCACATTTGGAATAGAAGGCACAAAAAAGAAACCCTATTGTGTACTCTGTGTAATGAAAAGGAATGGAAGAACCACATATGGGTCTGGTTTTGTAACAGCGCCTGTGCACTGAGGATCAGTCCTGACCACGCTGAGCAACATCAACAACGTCTTCCTAAACTAAAATAGGACAGCTTACCATAATCAGAGTCCTTGAAACACGCGTCCATGTGGTCCTGGTCGTCATCGTAATCCAGACTCTCAATGCTGCTGCTTTTCCTGGGTTTCTTAGGAAGCCGTTTGGTGGGTCGCTTGCTGTTGCCACCGCCCGCCCCCCCGCCCGCCTTCCTGCCGGCCGGCGTGCTGTGAGAGTTGCTCTTGGACTGGCTGCTCCACGGTTGCTGCAGGCTGTCTGAAGACGACAGGTTGGCCATGGACAGCATGCCCTGAATGGCCTCCTGTGTGCTGGGAGATGCAGGTGGCTGACTGTAAGTACGTCAATAAAGAATACACAACAACACAGCCATTACACAGCAGTCAGCACGCCGCAGAGGTGAAGAGTAACTCAGAGGTATGATCGTCCATGGAAATGTCAGCAGTATTGCTGTATTATTATTATCATTTGACACCAGCAAAATATAATAAAATGTTAATCTGTAAATACTCTCCATGGAAATATATTCCCACACCTATTACACTATGAAGCTGCTAGGCTGAACATGGAGCCTAGTGCGACCTCTTCATTCTCTGCACTCACCACGTTGTTCTTCAAAGCCCAGAAACTATTTTACAGGGTAAAAAGTAGACCATCACGAGCTGCAGCAGACTGGGGGGGGGGGAGCCAGGAGCCGCCATGAATCAACCAACTGCTGACAGAACCTGCTTCACTTGCTAGTTGATTTTTCAGCTACAAGCGAAGATGTAAAATATCTGCTTTTTCATCCAATTACATCGTTGTTGAGCAAGACATTTGTTTGCCAGTTGTTGCCCATGAAGGAGCATACGACCTAGAATGTGTCTGTTGTAGGGATGACTCGCGATGCATCGATTGTAGCGTCTTTGCATCGGTAAACAAACGATTCATTCATATAATATCCTCTCATCCTGTCAGCACTCAGCAGAGACGATCTTCGATCTTTGCTTCGCACTACGGAGGCCGAGAGTCTCAGTTATCAACACACATGAAGTCGAGGAGAAAGAAAAACACAGCGCACCGAAAAATACCTACAAATCAATCATTTGGCAACACTTCGGATTTTTCAAGAAAGACGGTCAACTTGAAAAATCGCTCGCAAATTGTAAACGATGCCGAGCCGCTTTAAAGTACACAAGTAGTACGAGGAACTTAGCGACGCACATAAAGAGGCGACATGGGGTCTGCGGCTGAAAAGAGAAACCTGAAAGTTAGACGCGAGTGAAATCACTCAGTGAGGTGTTCTGTCAGAGAGAGTGGTGTTTAGTTTACAGCAGCCTGTGACGGCCAATAACAGTTTAAATGTCTTCCTCACTGTCAGCAGTTATGAAAGAGCTGTTTGTGAAAGGTTCTTTTCTTTATTGTTCATATAGAACCCACTGCTTTCTGCTCACTGGTGAGTTAGCCTATGAATGAGTGTTAAGCACATCAGGCTGGCAGCTGTATGGGCATTGCACTATGGTAGCTGTTATTTGCACATTGTTAATCATAGGAAATGCATCCTTAAATTGTTTAACTGTGAGGTCTTATAAAATGGCACTGTACTCTGGAGGCAGAGAACACTACTACACTTGTGAAAAGGCCTGTTTGTAAGGTAAAACAGGTAAAAAATAAACGGCATGATGGCATGCGCAGTACTAGTAGAGAGAACCAAATATGTAAAGCACTTTTTTGTTAATTTATGATTTGCTGCATATGAGGAATAGAACAAAAATACTCTGTCGTACCATATTGAAGTATCATTATTTTGCATGGTGTTGAATCGCATCGTATCGCCCCGTATCGCATAATGTTGAATCAAATCGTATCGAACTGTATCGCAACAGGGGTGAATGGTATCGTATCACATCGCCTGGTGCTTCAAATGTATCGTATCGTTGGCAACGTATCGAGATGCGCATCGCATCGGCCTCAGTGATGGAGATGCATATCCCTAGTCTGTTGAGAGGAGAAACAAGAGGAACACTGCAGTGTTGCAGGAGCTCAGTCTACCTGTTGGTGCTGTAGTCAATCCCTCCCACTTGCTTGCTCGCCTGCAGTAGGTCAAGAATCCCTGCAGCGCTTCCGCCCTTTTTCTTGACCTTAGAGTTGCGACTCTTCACCTCAGGCTTGACCTCTGTGTCTATGTGCAGAGTCTCTTCATCTGAAGAGTCCACACTCTAAGGAGAAAGAGACAAAAGACACACATAGGAATATGGTGTAGCTTCAAAGTTGAGACACTTGCAGCCAAAGTTGTTTTGAATGTGACTTCTCTGATCGAATTTTTCAGGTTGTGCCTGATCATTACTTTTGAAGGTTTTTCTGCAGTTCTTACAGACAAAACTGAGCTTTGGACCCCTACTGACCACCTCTTTGTGGTTATTTAGTTTGTAGGACTACGTTACATACAGTCTGTAGGACTACGTTCCATACAGTCTGTAGGACTACGTTACTGTCTGTAGGACTACGTTACTGTCTGTAGGACTACGTTACATACAGTCTGTAGGACTACGTTACGGTATGTAGGACTACGTTACTGTCTGTAGGACTACGTTACAGTCTGCAGGACTACGTTACATACAGTCTGTAGGACTACGTTACGGTATGTAGGACTACGTTACAGTCTGCAGGACTACGTTACTGTCTGTAGGACTACGTTACTGTCTGTAGGACTACGTTACATACAGTCTGTAGGACTACGTTACGGTATGTAGGACTACGTTACAGTCTGCAGGACTACGTTACTGTCTGTAGGACTACGTTACATACAGTCTGTAGGACTACGTTACGGTATGTAGGACTACGTTACTGTCTGTAGGACTACGTTACGGTCTGCAGGACTACGTTACGGTCTGCAGGACTACGTTACTGTCTGTAGGAATACGTTACGGTCTGCAGGACTACGTTACTGTCTGCAGGACTACGTTACTGTCTGTAGGACTACGTTACTGTCTGTAGGACTACGTTACTGTCTGTAGGACTACGTTACGGTCTGCAGGACTACGTTACGGTCTGCAGGACTACGTTACTGTCTGCAGGACTACGTTACTGTCTGCAGGACTACGTTACGGTCTGCAGGATTACGTAGCAGTCTGCAGGACTACGTTACTGTCTGCAGGATTACGTTACGGTCTGTAGGACTACGTTACGGTCTGCAGGACTACGTTACGGTCTGCAGGACTACGTTACTGTCTGCAGGATTACGTTACGGTCTGTAGGACTACGTTACAGTCTGTAGGACTACGTTACTGTCTGTAGGACTACGTTACTGTCTGTAGGACTACGTTACGGTCTGCAGGACTACGTTACGGTCTGCAGGACTACGTTACTGTCTGTAGGACTACGTTACGGTCTGCAGGACTACGTTACTGTCTGCAGGATTACGTAGCAGTCTGCAGGACTACGTTACTGTCTGCAGGATTATGTTACGGTCTGTAGGACTACGTTACGGTCTGTAGGACTACGTTACATACAGTCTGTGGGACTACGTTATAGTCTGTAGGACTACGTTACGGTCTGTAGGACTACGTTACGGTCTGCATGACTACGTTACTGTCTGCAGGACTACGTTACTGTCTGCAGGACTACGTTACTGTCTGTAGGACTACGTTACATACAGTGTAGGACTACGTTACATACAGTCTGTAGGAATACGTTACTGTCTGTAGGACTACGTTACATACAGTCTGTAGGACTACGTTACATACAATCTGTAGGACTACGTTACGGTCTGCAGGACTACGTTACTGTCTGCAGGACTACGTTACTGTCTGCAGGACTACGTTACTGTCTGCAGGACTACGTTACTGTCTGTAGGACTACATTACTGTCTGTAGGACTACGTTACTGTCTGTAGGACTACGTTACTGTCTGTAGGACTACGTTACGGTCTGCAGGACTAATTTACTGTATGTAGGACTACGTTACTGTCTGTATGATTACGTTACAGTCTGCAGGACTACGTTACTGTCTGCAGGACTACGTTACTGTCTGCAGGACTACGTTACTGTCTGTAGGACTACATTACTGTCTGTAGGACTACATTACTGTCTGTAGGACTACGTTACTGTCTGTAGGACTACGTTATGGTCTGCAGGACTAATTTACTGTATGTAGGACTACGTTACTGTCTGTAGGACTACGTTACGGTCTGTAGGACTACGTTACGGTCTGCAGGACTATGTTACTGTCTGCAGGACTACGTTACTATCTGTAGGACTACGTTACTGTCTGTAGGACTACGTTATGGTCTGCAGGACTACGTTACTGTCTGCAGGACTACGTTACAGTCTGCAGGACTACGTTGCGGTCTGCAGGACTACGTTACTGTCTGCAGGACTACGTTACGGTCTGTAGGATTACGTAGCACTCTGCAGGACTAAGTTCCTGTCTGTAGGACTAAGTTCCTGTCTGTAGGACTACGTTACGGTCTGTAGGATTACGTAGCACTCTGCAGGACTAAGTTCCTGTCTGTAGGACTAAGTTCCTGTATGCAGGACTACGTTACGGTCTGTAGGATTACGTAGCAGTCTGCAGGACTACGTTACTGTCTGCAGGACTACGTTACGGTCTGCAGGACTACGTTACAGTCTGTAGGACTACGTTACGGTCTGTAGGACTACGTTACGGTCTGTAGGACTACGTTGCAGTCTGCAGGACTACGTTGCAGTCTGCAGGACTACGTTACTGTCTGCAGGACTACGTTACGGTCTGCAGGACTACGTTACGGTCTGCAGGACTACGTTACGGTCTGTAGGACTACGTTGCAGTCTGCAGGACTACGTTACTGTCTGCAGGACTACGTTACGTCTGTAGGACTACGCTGCAGTCTGCAGGACTACGTTACTGTCTGTAGGACTACGTTCCTGTCTGTAGGACTATGTTACGTCTGTAGGACTACGCTGCAGTCTGCAGGACTACGTTACTGTCTGTAGGACTACGTTCCTGTCTGTAGGACTACGTTACGTCTGTAGGACTACATTGCAGTCTGCAGGACTATGTTACGGTCTGTTGGATTACATTACGGTCCGTAGGATTACATTACGGTCCGTAGGATTACATTATGGTCCGTAGGATTACATTACGGTCCGTAGGATTACATTACGGTCCGTAGGATTACATTATGGTCTGTAGGATTATGTTACTGTCTGCAGGACTACGTTACTATCTGTAGGACTACGTTACTGTCTGTAGGACTACGTTATGGTCTGCAGGACTACTTTACTGTCTGCAGGACTACGTTACGGTCTGCAGGACTACGTTGCGGTCTGCAGGACTACGTTACTGTCTGCAGGACTACGTTACGGTCTGTAGGATTACGTAGCAGTCTGCAGGACTAAGTTCCTGTCTGTAGGACTAAGTTCCTGTCTGTAGGACTACGTTACGGTCTGTAGGACTACGTTGCAGTCTGCAGGACTACGTTACTGTATGCAGGACTACGTTACGGTCTGTAGGATTACGTAGCAGTCTGCAGGACTACGTTACTGTCTGCAGGACTACGTTACGGTCTGCAGGACTACGTTACGGTCTGTAGGACTACGTTACGGTCTGTAGGACTACGTTACGGTCTGTAGGACTACGTTGCAATCTGCAGGACTACGTTACTGTCTGCAGGACTACGTTACGGTCTGCAGGACTACGTTACGGTCTGCAGGACTACGTTACGTCTGTAGGACTACGCTGCAGTCTGCAGGACTACGTTACTGTCTGTAGGACTACGTTCCTGTCTGTAGGACTATGTTACGTCTGTAGGACTACGCTGCAGTCTGCAGGACTACGTTACTGTCTGTAGGACTACGTTCCTGTCTGTAGGACTATGTTACGTCTGTAGGACTACGCTGCAGTCTGCAGGACTACGTTACTGTCTGTAGGACTACGTTCCTGTCTGTAGGACTACGTTACGTCTGTAGGACTACATTGCAGTCTGCAGGACTATGTTACGGTCTGTAGGATTACATTACGGTCCGTAGGATTACATTATGGTCCGTAGGATTACATTACGGTCCGTAGGATTACATTATGGTCCGTAGGATTACATTACGGTCCGTAGGATTACATTACGGTCCGTAGGATTACATTACGGTCCGTAGGATTACATTATGGTCTGTAGGATTACATTACGGTCTGTAGGATTATGCTGCGGTTATGATGGAATGGTGTCAGTGACCACACAAGCACCTGCTTCATATTCATACCCCATCTTTTACTTTCAGCTTAGAGGGTTCTTGTTCAGATTCACAACATTGTATCTCTACACTTGGATTTGAGTTTTAAAGGAGCATTGCAGCATGGTCTTGTCATGGAAAGCTTGATAACATGATGGCCAGGAGGGAAGGATTGCCATCTGTAATACGTACCGGTTTCACCAAGGGCTGAAACTTTGGTTTCTTTGCTGGTTGAATGGGTTCTTTAATGTCCGACAAAACTGGAAGAAAAAACATTGACCATTGAGCAACAGCTCAAACACAGGATGCAATGGAAATATTGCTTCAAACAACAATCTATACTTTACTCTGGTGAATACACATTCTAACATATCTGAAATGTCTTTGACAGGGTCTCACTTTCACACGCTATGTTGTGTGGTTCTAGTTATCTAGCTAGGAAGACAATGTCTCAAAGTGCCCAGTCCCTATACGCAGGTTTTATCATTCTATTGAAACGCCGCTCACACAAGCACAGTTAAATAAATGTGTACACATAAAAAGCAGAAAACAAACACACACACAGTATTAGCTCGTTGTTTGACACAAGATAACTCTGTGACCTAAACGCTGTGTGGGTGTGGCCAAAATGCAAAGAAAAAGCTATGTTTACAAAAATACTGTGAACGTGAGGTCAAGGCCTCCATCCCTGCTACAAAGGGACACTCACAGGACAGATCTCTCTTGACCGCGTTCTTTTTCCGCCTGATGGGGAACTCGTCAATCTTCAGCTCCCCCTCATCTGAGACATACTCGTACTCGTCTCTCACCGGCTTGGATTTGTCCTCTTTTAGGTTTTGTAATGATCCAAAAACACTTGAGTTGGTCTGAGGTTTCAGCATCTTGGAGCTGAAAAGCAAACACAGGATAATGACGCAGTGTTGGAGCTGCTGCTATGATCACTACATAACATCTGAGAGCGGGGAAAACATACCCCAGCGTCTTCTTGTGAGACATGGTGAAGCTGAATCTGTCTTTATTGCCTGACAGTGGTGTTCTGTCAAATTTGCAATCTTCTTCCATTTTCAGCAGGGAATCTGGTTTACTATTCTGTAAAGTTACACAGGACATATCGTAAGTACATTTTCACATCATAGCATTTTTAAGTTTTACATTTTAGCCCTTTGTTTTGCAGCTCTCATCAACCTGGTGAACATGATGGAGCCTTTATTATTTTTAATGTTTCAGATAATAATTAAATAAGATGATTTAATGTTAATGTGGTGTTGGCAGCTAATTGTATTTCCTCCAGAGAAACAATCAAATCAATGAAATCCATGCTGGCGGCTTTCACACTGCCCATTCAGTCCTGCCGGTTAGCGTGTTATGTTTATTTAATAGTGAAGTCTTTAGTTCAGATGTTTATTCTAAGCTTCATAGGATTGATTTTTATTTTCCTGACATTCATACATTATATTGTACTAGTTGCTTTTATAGTTAATTTCATTTACAGTGAAGATGAATGTACGGTTTCTCTATCTTTTAATTACGACTATCCATTTCTGTAAAAGGCCATGCTCAATACACAATACCTGGGATACAATGGGTTCAATTTAAAGGAACATTTTCAAAATAAATCATGGGACCAAAATGTAAAGCCAATACAGTAACACATACTGGTTTGGCTAACCAAAAGCTATTGTTCTTCCAGGATTCTTGCTTCTGAGATTTTTATGTTCATAGTTGATTGCATTTATTGTAAGAGGCTTTGGATAAAAGCATCAGCTAAATGTCCTGTAATGATGTTTCTCAGAAACATTTATATTTCAAACAACACAAAATGCCGCTTAGTACTGTAGCAGCCACCAAATGGCTAGAATCAGCACATGTACGGATGTAACATATGCAGTTATATCGGATGTAAACTGCTGTTATTTGACTTAAAGGTCCCATGTCATGCTTTTCCGGTTATTACCCGTCCCCTTGTGTGTTATGAAGGTTTTTATGCATGTAAACGGTCTGCAGAGTCAAAACCCTCAAAGTGCACCATGCAGCGAGTAAAACTCGAACACAGAAAATACCTCCCCAAAACGCCTCGTTGGAGATCGCAGAGAGGGCCAGACGAGCTTCTTTCATTTAACCCTTCACATTCCAACAGAAACTGAACAGGCAGATTCGAAGGATTTATTTATTTTGAAATGTTATTTTAAATACAATTAAATACAATTATTTTTGGTAAAACTAATGAAAAATATTTTTGAATTTAAAAAAAAAAGTTTATTTTTAATGTTTTCAAATATTATTTTTTAGAATATCTAATATTATTTTGTAGCTATATAATGTTAAAAAATCACGACTGATTTCGGAAAAGAAACACTGCTGCTGCCATCTTATATATGCTGTAAAATGTATTATCTCTTCGATTTACACACGGCATCTATTGCACGTCTGTCCGTCCTGGGAGAGGGATCCCTCCTCTGTTGCTCTCCCTGAGGTTTCTCCCATGTTCCCCTTTACACTGTGGGTTTTCTCTGGAAGTTTTTCCTTGTACAATGTGAGGGTCTAAGGATAGAGGGTGTCGTATTTCTCATACTGATATTCTGAACAATCTGTGCTGTTGTATTTGCTGTAAAGTGTCTCTACTGTAGGCTATTTTTATTATATGTACAGCACTTTGGCTCGACCAAAAATCGTTTATAAATGTGCTATATAAATAAAACCTGATTTGATTTGAGATACTCATTGTCCATTGTTTACTTCCTGGGTATTGTGACGTAGGAATGGCCAGTAGCCGCGCCCAGAGCTATGACGCGATACAGTCATGCGTTATCCGGAACCAAATGGACCAATCCGTGGAGCCGTTACGTTACGTCTGCGGAGCCGTTACGTTAAGCCCCCGCTGATTGGTCCAAATTGACCAATCCACAGACTTCCTCACACACACACTCAGTGCAGGCAGCTCTGCTGATTTCTCCTCCCTGGCTGCAGGCTGATAACAGACAGTTGGGATCGCGGCGAAATTCTCTCTGCAGACCCATTCTCACAGCGTTTATCAACCTTTTTCTTACTCAATATCAAGCCACACTTATTGTTTTTACTTCGGCTGTGACTTTGTGTGTGCTCAGGATGAGTTTGGCTGTGTTTCGCTGTCGCTAAACAAGGAAACCACACCTCCACGGAGCTCAGCGCGATTCACAAAGTCCCGACCAATCAGAGCACACTGTGCTCACAGGGAGGGTGGGGCTGGAGCTATTGGAGCTACAACGAGCCGTTAAAGGCAGAGAGTGAAATTCAGTCCATACACGTAGTTTACAGAGATGCTGTTTGAGAAACCAATGTGAGTTTGGAAAATTGCACGATATAAATCTATTCTCTATTCTCAACAATGGAATTATGATCAGTGGAAATGGCCATGACATGGGACCTTTGAACTTAGGATGGATGATCAGTACCTGTCTAATCAACTCATTGCAAGACAACAAATGCAATCCCTCTTCTGTGATGAAGAGATTGTATTTAAAAGAAATTAGTGAAATCAGAATGATCACACATGATATTTTCTGAGCCAACTCAACCTAAACTAAATGTAGGAATGCAGGAATGGCCTGACAATCACCAATGAGCACACTGTGTGGTTAACTGTGATCCAAGAATATTCTTTTTCAAAAAATCCCTCTATAACCATTTTGTCTCCTAAATAAAAGGCATGTGAGGCGTGTTGTGACCAGAATGCTTTCTGTTCACCGAGGATAACATGTAGCATTGCCTTACTGCAGCAGAGATCTTGATGACTCAGCAGAGCATCAGGGACCTCAGGGTCTCTGCTCCAGCTGCAAGTGTTTGATGTGAGGAGATCCTTGGAGCATTCCAGCAGTTTGGCATGGAATGTTCCATGAAACCAAAGTCCTTTTAAAGAAGAGGGCACATGTAACTACTTGGATTGAAGGCGGCCGATGGGGACGAGGTGTGATTTCACGAGGTGAACTCAACAATACTTTTGGAGGATCTTACATGTTGTTCCTGTTCAGCTTGAACCAGTGAAAACTCTTTGAGTCCTTTTACCAAAAGTCTGAAATTATAAAGGCTTGTGATATTCTTGACTTTTACATGCAGCCATTAGTTTAAATCATCAATCATCGACTTCCGGTTATGGTGGCTCGCTAGAAAGACGCAACTATCAGTGCTCCGCCAATTTCTATCTTAAATACTGTTTTAAACACGTTTTATGACAACCCATCGCATCTACTTTACGGAGAAGAGAGTGAAATGTCGGATGCAGCCGGAAAATCGACTAAAGGACGAACGAAATCACTTCAGTCTAAACTAGAAAACCTTGGAGCATCCAAGCTACACGTGGAAGCTAAAGAAAGTTCTCCTAGCGCTAGCATAGCGCCAGCCATGGCCTCTGTTGAGACGGGTGAGATCGGGCTGGGGGAAGCTGGCTCGGAGAAAATCCTGGTTGCCATAGGCTCTCTAAAGTCTGACACAAGACTTGATGGCATTATAGGGAGTGAGAAAGGAGGTACGTGAATGCTCAGAACGAATTGCAGAGGATGAAGTAAGAATCTCATCCACCGAGGATGACGTGAACTCCTTGCAAGCTAAGGTGAAAACACTTGAGGCTAAAAACACCAAGCTAGAGGATAAAGTTGAAGACTTGGAGGCAAGATCCAGGTTATCCAACTTGAGACTGGTGAATCTGCCAAAGACGCCAAAGGAGGGGATGCTTGTGCTTTCCTTGGAAACTGGATCCCAGACGTGTTGAATTAGGACCAGCTACGTTCAAAGTTTATACTGGAGAGAGCTCACAGAATCGGCCAAAGGAGGGATGCTAATGCCCCACCAAGAACATTTATCATGACATTCCTAAACTATAGGGACAAGATGGTTGTAACGAAGGCAGCCAGGGCAAAAAAACAGATCCTATACAAAGACCAGCAGTGAGATTTTACCCAGACTTGGCTGCAGGAGTGCACAAGCGGTAGAAGACGTTCGATAATGTCCGTCAGAAACTACTGAACCTGGGGATCCGGTACGGCATGCTATTACCGGCTCGGCTCCTGGTAACCTACATGGACAAGTCGCATACTTTTGAGAACCCGTCTGCTATGGAGAACTTCATCGAGCGGATTACAAGAGAGAAGGGACAGGCTGAATAACGTTGTTAGAGTATAACTTGAGTCATGACAGCTGGCGTCATTCTACAGTATTATTTTAGACAGGGGTGTGGCCTTTGTCGAATAACCAGGAAATACACATTTCGATCGTTTCTTCTGTCGTTTACATTCATCTTTTGGTATATTTGGCTGGATAGGAACACTTTGATGCACATTCAGTCCCAGTGTGTGAGGTAGTGGTTGCGATGCCGATATGCGGACGTGTACAGCGAGGACTACAAAAAGACACATGAGGTGACTGGGGATGTCTGTTCAAAACATTGCAAGCTTGAATAAATCATTTAAACCATCTAATTTTGCCAGACTTATTACTGAATATCATTCTTAATGTGATACCAAGTCCATCTGAGACCTGTGTACACCTTCAGACAGCCTCCAAGTGAAGCACACGTTGTTTACTCACAGTTTGAAAGCAGCGTGGAGAAGTATTTTCTAACAATATATAACATTGGAGTCTGATTCCACACATGAGTCGCTAATTACGTTAGCCCTGACCTAGCTTTTATTTCTGGGTTTTTTATTTAATTTTTTATATTCACACTAGTGCTGTAGCGACGTGTCGACTTCAAAATATCGTCGACGACATATTTCCGCGTCGACGCGTCGCTACACACACGTGGGTCACCCAAAGCAACAAGCAGTTCGCAATCGCACTTCAAACACAATGGAGACTGAAACGGCTACCACCTCCTCCTCACAGGATTGCGCACGAAGCCCCCAAACGAAAACATCTCGCCCTAGGTCTTCAAAAGCATGGGAATATTTTAAAGTTAGTCCAAAACGCAAAGATATTTATATATTTATATCTCACTGAGACTGCTGCATAGCCTAGCAGAAGCAGCAGCTAGCTGTGGTGGCTACCATTAGCAGCTAGCATTTGCTCCGATTTTTACATAAAATGGAATTATGGATTATAAATTCAATCATTTTTTTATACATAGACGTTAAAAACCTATGGATTAACTGATTCAGCCGCGTTTTTTTCTCATTTTATTGCCATTGAACACGTCTTTTGATCAGATTACGGTGGTGAGACGATCTCCCGAGAAGCTCTGTGAAGGTACGTGTTGTGATGACTGTATTTGCTTCCCCTGTCGCGAGTCCGGATCACTCAGTGATGATACTATATACCTACATAATCTGTGGAGTCTCAGCTTTAATCGGATATATTGTATGTGCAGCTATGATAAGTAATAAGGGTACTTTTATCTTGAGTTATGTGCCAATTAGATGCTTCTTATGAGACTTGTGTTTTGTTTTGGTAAACATGGTTTGTATCGTCAGTTAGCTGAGATTATTTCCGTTAATCTGGTATAACACATTAATAGGTTCTTAAATATTAAGATCCCCTGAGACACAGTATCGTGAACAATTTTTTTTTTACATTACGTTTTTTATGAATTGAACAACAGAAAAATAATCGTTAGATTAGTCGACTAATCGATCAAATAATCGCCCGATTAATCGTTTTCAAAATAATCGTTTCCCCCCAGCACTAATTCACACCATACGTCTCAGTATCTAGCCAACGTTGCATGGCATATTTAAGTTAAAAGTTTGAAAGCAATAGCTTTATGAGGTTGAGTTAATAAGTACTGCAGAGGCCAGCTCTTATGGAGATTGCTGATTTAAGTTAAATCTGGCTCTGATAATTAGCTATTCAGCTACATTTGTGTTAAGCCCTGCAATGGCTGGTTAACAAAACGGGTGTGTGTCGTTTTATGACAAGGGTATGTGGAGCCTTCAGTTTAAAATTGAGGAATGAACGCATCTTTTTATTTTATTTAGGTACTTTTATAATCTTGAATTTTGCGGCATAACATTTGTTGGCTCCTCCTGAGCTCCTGATTTCTTATGATTACATGGCGGTTAGTAATGTAAAACAAAGGTTAGGAATAGAAGAATATTCGAGCTGAAGCACATGCTGTATTAGTACGGTGACTGTCAGCTATAAGCGGAAGTGTCAACATGAGGAGAGGGGTGCGGCCCATTGGGGTGGATGCATGTTCACATGTTTGGATGTGGTTTGGAACAACCGTGTTATGTTTCTTAATGTTTTTTAAATGTATTTCTTATTTTTATGTACATGTGGGTAACCTAATCTGTGTCAAAGGTCATGTTGCAGGGTTTGGAGGTTACATTTACTTCCTGGAATTGCAGAGGCCTGCAAAAATGTAAAACAATTAAACAGGTTATGAATAGAGTAAAAAAGTAGAAAAAAAAGTAAAAGGTCTGCAATCTAAAATTGTTTTTTTGCAAGAGACACATTTATTGCCAAAGGCTGATATTAGAATTAGGAGGAGGTGGGCGGGATGTGTGTATTCAGCAACCATTTCTACTCTGGCTAGGGGTGTTATGACGCTAATTCCTAAATCAGTAACATTTCAGGTAACAAATGTAATCAAGGACAAGGCTGGTAGATACTTAATTGTTCAGGGTACTCTACTAACAGATAACTTTAATTTAGTTCATGTATATGCCCCCAATAATGATGATCCGAAGTTTTTTAGGGACCTGTTTTATACGCTTTCAACATTTACTGGTATTTACATCATAGCAGGGGGTTTTAATTGTGTATTGGATCCAACAAAGGATCGGTCAGGGGGCATAGATAAACCACACACCAAAAGCAGGGAAGCCTTACTTAATATTATGAAAGATTTAAATTTGAAGGACATCTGGAGAGAATTAAAGCCTGATGCTATAGAGTAGTCTTGCTATTCTGCTTCTTACAAATCGTATTCCCGTATTGATTACTTTTGATATCAGAAAATGTGGCTTCTAAAATCAAAGACGGCACTTATGATGGAATCCTTATTTCGGACCATGCACCAAACTCACTGCTTCACTCAACGCTGGTGAGAGATTCTTCTAAATGGCGAATCCAACAAAAATGGTTGCAAGACTCAGACGTATCTTGGCAAACCAATTGATTTATATTTTGAGACAAATACATCGGAAACATCAGTATCTATAAGATGGGAAGCTTTTAAAGCATGTATTAGAAGCCACATTATTAACTACACAAGCTCTAAATCCCAAAAAGCTGGTCATAAAATGACTGTTGGAATCAAAAATAAAAACCATGGAGAGTGAGGCCTTTCAGAAACCCTGCCCTAAAGTACAACAAGAACTGCTAGTACTGAGGTCCCAGTATAATGAATGATCAGCTTCTAAAGCAGTGGCAAATCTACTAAGACTCAAACAAACATTTTACGATCAAGGAGAGAAGCCTGGAAAGATATTAGCGTAGCGCATTAAACAATTACAAATTGTCTTATTACGTCAATACAGAACAATAAGGGAGATAATATAGATCCTATAGAAATAAATTAGGCTTTTAAAAATGTCTATGAAAATCTATACGACTGACAAGTCAAAATAACTTATTAGACACTCTCAATATACCTAGTATCCCAGCAGAACTCAGACCTAGTCTGGAAGGTGAATTATCATTAGAAGAGATCTCTAATGCAATTGATTACATGCTGTAGGGCCAGATGGCCTACCTATAGATATCTACAAAAAGTTTAAATATAAAATACAAACTCCCCTCTTAAATATGTTGCTAGAATCTTTAAAAAATGAAATCCTTCCACCATCACTGAGAGAAGCCTTCATTACATTGTTATCAAAACCAGGGAAACCCTGCAATAGATGCAAACATATAAGACCAATAAGCCAGGTGAATTCTAATTACGATCCTATGATGGAATCAATTACAAGCACAATAGATAGATGGAAGCAAATGCCGATCTTTTTAATTGGGAGAATTCATATATAAAAAGTAAACATACTCCTCAAGTTGCTGTATCTATTCCAAAACATCCCCCTGCCTCCTCCTCCAAACCTATTTTCAAAGTTAAGGAAATTATTTTTGAATTTTCTGTGGAACGACAAACGAGCCCGCCTGGGCTTGGCCCTCCTGTATATGCCCTATGATAGCCTGTCCTAACCCTCTCTGGTGCTACTGGGCAACTCAGTTTAGGACTATTATGTTTTATTTTACAAACGACAACCCCCCTGCCTAGAGAGGGATGGAGTCCCAATGTTTAGAGTTACCTCTTCCCATGTATTTGTACTCAACTAGTGTGAAGAAACTTTTTTTTATAAACTAACCCTATTACTAGGAACATGATTAGAGTCTGGCATGAAGCGAGGAAGTACTTGGGCGAACCTTTCTCTCTCATATTTTAGTCCAATTTAGGGAAATGATGACATTACTCCAGGCAGAGCTGATAGTGGGTTTAAGATTTGGTCAGATAAGGGGGTACAGAGAATTCAGGATCTATATAGGCTTGATGATGATAAACTGATGTCGTTTGAGGAGCTTGCAATCAAGCACAACATTTCACGGAAGCATTTTTTCAAATGTTTACAAATTAGAAGCTATATTGGAGCAAACCAAAAACAATTACTAACTATACCTCCATACTCACTACTAGAGAAAATAATGTTAAGGGACTGTAGGGGAAAGACTTAATTTCTGCACTTTATAACTTGCTTATATCTGGCTCCCCTGAGTCCTCTGAAGCTAAACTTAGGAATTGGAGGTAGGATTTGCAGGAAATGCAGGACAATTGATGAGTGGGAAGGTGCCTTTAAGAAAGCTCAATCACAAACAGCAAATACCCATCTTAAGCTCTTACAATATAACTGGCTGATGCGTACATATATTACTCCAGAAAAGCTATACAGATGTAATGGTAATATCCCGGACTTATGTTTTAAATGTGGACAATCTAAGGGAACTTTCTTTCATTGTGTTTGGGAGTGTACCACGATAAAAACGTATGATAGAAGAGATTTGATCAATGCAGACAATGCATGATAGCACTTTAATGGAAACGTTTTAACAGTCCAAGTATTGGAAAATGGCTAAAAGAACTGTCTGCATGTGTCTCATTAGAGAAAATAACCAATTTAATTCAAGGAAAACAAGAACTATTAAAAAAAGTATGGGGCCCTTTCCTTAACTATCTGGAACATGCAGATCTAGAGAGTATTCTGGGTCAGCAAACTGGAGATGATTGATGTCCCTCTGCTGGAGGAAGGACAGAAGCCTTTCATATCTGCCTACACAAGGACCGATACAGGAAAACATTCCTGCCCACTGCAATAACACTCTATAACAAATCACCTCTGGCTGTCAGAGAACCCTCTGCTCCAGCTTCTCTTGATTACTGGACTTAAACTTCCACTGTACATTTTTACATTCATTCGAAATTTGTATTTCCACTTGTATATTTTCCACATGTATATATATTGTTTATTTTATATTCTTACATTTTTAAATTGTTTAATGCTATTTTATTTCTATTTCTGAAATATTTTGGACTGTTTATTTCATGTGTCTTAATTTCTCTTATGTACATTGCCTTGTGTTTTTTATGCTGCTGCAACGCAAACATATCTACATGTACATGTTTTTATATTTTTTTATATTTATATATTTCCTTACTTAGCATATCCACGTGTTTGTGAAGTTAATTTTATTTATGTGACTTGTAATGTACTTCATTTTGTTATGTCTTGTGTACTGTCTTATAGATTGTCTATATATGCAAAACAATTAAAGAAAGTGTTTAAAACAAAATCATCAATTTATCAGCTTACCTTATACTTCCATTTTGCTTCAGTCTTGTTTTTATTCTGCTCTCTGAATTCAAACTTTTCTGCGTTTTTCTGCTTTGATATTTCCTTCTCTGATATACTCAGGACGTTTTTAACAGCCTGAAAGGAGACACAATTATCAAAAGTGAAAAGTAACTGTGGGTTCCTTCTCTTTTCTGCATGTTTGGAAGCAAAATAAAGATATTTATAAAGCGTTCTGCTTAATGGAATACAACATGGCCTAAGTGAAGTCACAACTAAGGATACAAATAATCATTCCACAAAATAAGAACAATATCATTAACAGTTACATTACCACACACTCACCTTCGTCTTTTTCGGCTGGTCCATTTTGCTCAAGATGTCTTTGGCATGGGACTCAAGAGCTGCAAAGCTGGAGGGTTTGGGAGGCGACGACGACTCTTGCAATTTCTTCCCTTTCTTCTTTCCTCCTTCCTTGACCTTGGGCACCTTTGGAGGCTTGGGGGCCTTAGGCATCTTGGGGGGTTTGGGAGGCTTCGGAGGCTTGGGGGGTTTGAAAGCTTTCTTTCTGGCCTTCTCTCTGCTGGGCGAGGGGACATGGGCCGGTGAGACAGGCTCTTCAGGCTCTTCAGGATCCGAGTGTGTGGATGGGGGTTCCTCCACTGGAACCTTGATGCTGGGCTCACTCTTAATAGCTTTTGTTGCATTCTAAAGGAAACACAGGGAACGTAAAGGTATACATTTTAATCTGCAGTTAAATCCCTCTTGAGACTATTTAAGTACCCCTGAACTAGTGCTGAAATTATACGTCAATTAATTTATTTTAAGATCACAAATAAATGGGTGAAAAAGTGAAAAATCAATGCAGTGTAAAAATAGATAGATTAAACCTTATTTGATTGTGTTTGAGACCTTTATTCAGTTTTTATTGTGCTGATGGTTTGGGTGTTTTACTGGTGTGTAGAACCTCGGCCCTGTGAGCCAATAGGAAGAGAGTAGAGGCGCTAACATTTTCATTAACTTTAAATAAGGTTTGTGAATATTATTTGCAGAAGTAAAAGGCTAACATGGTTGAGTTTTGGTACAGAGTCGGTTTTGTGAGCCTGCGACATGAGCTGTCGAACAGAACAGGGGGTGAGTTTGACACCCCTAGAACAGGGGTGTCAAACTCAAGGCCCATTTTTATGTGGCCCGGAAGGGTTTGCAAAGAATATAATATACAATACAATAGGTGTAATAGTTGAATGTATGCTTTCAATGATTTTCCCTAGACGTGTGCTTTCAAACATAGTTATTTATGAAGTTACAACCAGAACTGAAATAATAAAATGTAAAGGTCCCATGTCATGGCCATTTCTACTGATCATAATTCCATTGTTGAGGTCTACTAGAATAGATTCACATTGTTCAATGTTCCAAACTCACATTGGTTTCTCACAGAGCATCTCTGTATAGTATGTGCATTCACTCTCTGTCCTACACGGCTTGTTGGAGCTCCTGCCCTCCCCTCCATATGATCCCAGTGGTCGTCTGCGAGACACAGCTAAACCCAGCCCGAAACACACACACACACCCGCAGCCTGGCTGGGAGTTTGTGTGGTGTGCTCACACACCGACAGCCTCGCCGCGTCCCGCCGTCTCAGGGAGGAGAAATCGGCGGAGCTGCAGCTGAGTGTGTGTGTGTGTGTGTGTGTGTGTGTGTCCATACCCATTTGGGTATGGGCATGTCACTGTACCCAGGAAGAAAAAGAGAAATGTCCAACGAGGCGTTCTGGGGCAGCACAGACAAGTATTTTCTGTGTTAGAGTTTTACTCGCTACAGGGTGTACTTTGAGGGTTTGTGACTCTGCAGACCGTTTACATGCAGAAAAACCTTCATAACACACAAGGGGACGGGTAATAACCGGAAAAGCATGACATGGGACCTTTAATATATATTATATATTAAGTCTTAAAGTTACAACCGGCCCTTTGAGTGCAACCATAATGTGGACTGCAATGGAATTGAGTTTGACGCCCCTGTATTAGACCATGACTATAAAACCATGTGTTATAGTCATTATACCTTAAGATACCAGGTGGTCTTGACCATGTGTAACGACATAGTTCACGATGTGGTTGATTGACATGTTTGTTTATGTTTATTTTGTCAGTGGCCAGTGATTGTACATAACCTCTAAATAATGAATATTATGGATTTTATAGGCTACATATAAGAAAACGATTTATATTATAACTCTTTCCGCAAATCATTATTATATATTATTATTATTATTATATAGCTATAGTCTATGGTCAACCGATTGAGCAGATGAGAGAATATTTTCCCGCTGCAGTGACAGCTTAGGGCAATATAAAACACTGCAACTGAATACGAACAACGCGATTTAAAAGGTCAGTGTTTGTGTATTTGCCTGGGACAGACACATCTCTGTCATGAGTGTACACATTAGATTTATTTTAGCGGTTGAGATATCTTTGGACTGGCTCTCAGATCGCACATCCCAACAATGGCTTCTTCTCGATGTCAAAAATGAAATATGATACCTCTGAGAGTCGGATCTCTTTTGCAAGATCTTTGATGAGCTGTGATGGTTTCATGTTCTCTGGAAGCTCATCTTCGTGTTCTAATAGGGCCTGTTGGGAGGAGAACAAAGCCTTTATACTTTCCACCACAGCATGGATGGTCAGACACACATTGTGATGTGCGTATGTCCATACCTGTTTCTTAGTCCAAGCTCTGAAGGCTCCGTTAATGATTTTGGAACCATGTATTAGGTATGGGGCTGGTTGCTTATTTGCTTTATGTAAACCTGCAGAAAAAGAAATGCAAATGTTATCATTGGGAAAACTGTGCAATTTTCACTGTACGCTAATGCAGTTTTGCATGTTTCATGTCAATCTTCCTAAAATGCCCAAACAACACAATGATGATGTCTCTCACTCCACATTCAGAGTGATGTATTGCACTATAAGAGGACTGGGCATATTCAAGAGAGCTTGTGTGTTCTTGCATTAAGAAGCTGCAGTGCATCCTACTGGACGCCATGTGGCCTCTTGTTCCAATACAGTTTTAAAAAGGTCAGATTAATGTTTAACGGCCAATAATCATTTTTTAGACATGAACAGATTACATAAACAACATGTATGATCTTTTCTCAAGAATTGTAATGAAGATATGTATGGAGTAGAAGTAGGTACTGTCAGGGCTCTCTGCAGATACTGATATATGTGGGAGGCTCTCTCACAGACTTGAGAGGTCCTTTCAGTCACACCCCTCCTCATCAACCTCCTCATCACATACATGACTATTTTAGTGGTTGTTTTTTGTTTGTTTATTGTTTTTTGTTTGTTTATTGTTTTGTGTTGTGTTAATTATTTTGGTTAATATTTTTGAAAATGCTCACCAGTTAAACTACAGCCCTGATTTAACCTGTTAAGCCCGAAGGTTCCCGCCGGCGGGGACCCTGTTTTTTTTTTCTCACGACACTGTGTCTCAGGGTATCTTAATATTAAAAACCTATTAATGTGTTATACCAGATTAACGAGAAGAATCTCAGCTAACTGACTATATGAACCATTTTTACCGAAACAAAACACAAGTCTCACAAGAAGCGTTAACATTAGCCCTTAGCTAAAACGGGCAGATGCTACTTCCGGTGCTAACTAGCAAAAATGATCTTTAAAACTTAATATTTTCTGCACAAACTACATATCATCTGAAAGCTGATACTCCACAGATTATTTTGTTATAAGTATCATCACTGTAGGACACAGACTCACTGAGATATCAGCCAGAACAGAGAAGAAAAACAACAACTGTTTTCAAAACCATAACAATAATTATGTCTTACCGTTGCTGTTTTGTGATCAAAGCTCGTGTTCAAGGGAATACAAACGCTGCTTAAGGTCAATCCAATGTCTATTAGTCACTTTGTATTGTTCCTGATAATCTATCATTACATTCATGGTAGCAGAGTAGGTAAAAAGTTTCGCAGTCCCGAGCTAATGCTGTCTCACGTGCTGTTTACGCAGACCTCTCTCTACTTGACCTAAGTGTTTAGCGGGACTTACTTACTGTCACTCGATTATATTGGCTCTAACGGTTCATAAAAGGTGTCAATCACCCAAATCGACCAATGGGTTCCAAAGATATGATCCTGCGTAGTATAAACTAGGCATGCTCCGGCTTCATTACGCATTACGCAGCCAGAAGGGAGAGCTTCACCACCGAGGCGAGCAGGTGCTAGAGATGCTAGCTGACGATAGCTCATACCAGATGACTCGTCGTCGGATGATGAAGATCTCCTCCAGCCAGACCTGGATCCGGACAGTAGTGACTCGGATGTTGAACTTCCACCACGGGAAAGGAATGTAATCTCTCTGTTTTTATATATTACTTATGTGTTTGGTGGAACTGCGTCACAGTGCTAGCTTAGCCAAGAAGATACAGGAATGATTAGGCAAAATGCTAAATAGTGTTACTTGTCTTTTTGGAGTTACATTTTCTAAATGAATGGCCAGTGAATGAATATATATACATGTGTTTACTTATTTATTTGGTGTAATATTATTCATTTATAGTCCAATATTATCCTTTTTATATATTACTTTTGTGTTTGGTGGAAATGCATCACAGTGTTAGCTTAGCCAAGAAGCTACAGGAATGATTAGGCAAAATGCTAATTAGTGTTACTTGTCTTTTTGGAGTTACATTTTCTAAATGAATGGCCAGTGAATGAATATACATGTGTTTACTTATTTATTTGGTGTAATATTATTCATTTATAGTCCAATATTATCCTTTTTATATATTACTTTTGTGTTTGGTGGAAATGCATCACAGTGTTAGCTTAGCCAAGAAGCTACAGGAATGATTAGGCAAAATGCTAAATAGTGTTACTTGTCTTTTTGGAGTTACATTTTCTAAATGAATGGCCAGTGAATGAATATACATGTGTTTACTTATTTATTGGTGTAATATTATTCATTTATAGTCCAATATTATCCTATAAGTATAAGCCAGTGAATTAATCTAATCTCTTGTTTTCCACATTTGTTAGATGAGGAGTGACCCCAGCAGGACAAAGCACACACCCAGAAGACTTTCAGGGAGCAGCTTGCTACAGAATTGTTGGAGTTTGCTGAAGGCCCTGCTGAAGGCCCTGCACCTCCACCACCCCCACCCCCTCCTCCACCACTCACATGCATGTCCGAGTATTATGGGGAAGATGCCACCAAGGTCAGGAAGAACTGCAGGAGGTGCCTAGATGCTGGACTCAAAATGGTGAAGACACCTGTGTACTGCAGGAAGTGCCAGGTCCCTCTGTGCTTCACTGTCAAAAGAACTGTTTCAGGGAGTGGCACGACCTAAATACTGGAACATTCAGGTAGGTATAAAGTTCAGGTAGGTATAACGTTTTGCGAGTGTTTATTTAAAAAAAAATACTTATACTTAAATATTTGTTGTTTTTACAAACCTACAGTGTGGTTTTATTGTATAGTACATTAGTAAAATGTTTGGTTTTTACATGCCTATAGTGTTGTTGGTAAAATGTTTGAAATAAATCTGCCCCAGTTGGAGTCAAATGTTACCTATGTTTCTGTTTTTTTTTTTATTGCGCAAGTACACCTACACACAATGACCTACAGTGTGGTTTTATTGTATAGTGCGTTGGTACAGTTACATACACACAGCTACACTTACACACCTACACATAACCACACAGCTACACATACATATTAAGATACATATCTTAATATTTAAAAACCTATTAATGTGTTATACCAGATTAACGAGAAGAATCTCAGCTAACTGACTATACAAACCATTTTTACCGAAACAAAACACAAGTCTCACAAGAAGCGTTAGCATTAGCCCTTAGCTAAAACGGGAAGATGCTACTTCTGGTGCTAACTAGCAAAAACGATCTTTAAAACTTAATATTTTCTGCACAAACTCCATATTCTCTTAAAGCTGATACTCCACAGATTATTATTATTTTTTTTTTGGGTGGAATGAATACCTATAGTGATTATTCAATGTAATACAATAATTGTTATAGTCTGGTACCTGAAAAAGGTCAAATGGCACTGATGGAACCAAATGTGCCCAAAGCTTATTCCGCCTGGACTTTATTTTCATAAACCTCTCTAAAAAGGGCAAAATGTCACTTGTTTTGCCTCAATCTTGATACAGGGTACTTATTATATGTTATACTTTGGATTATTAAAGCTTTTAGGCTACTAACCCATCATTCAAGGTTGGTCTTTACTATAAGTAATGGGTTTTCTTTAGGCGGAGACAGGAATTTACATTTTTTTGCTATGTTCCATCTGAATTTACTCTGACACAGAAAAATCTATATTGATTCTGACACTTCTAGATCCAACTCACAGATGTAACCTTGCTTTGATAACAACAATTATTCATATAAACCTTTTAGAAGTGAAGTTATAGTCATTTGTTCTGGGAATGTCATTTTCGAGCCTGAAACCTGAAAAACAGGCTCGGGGTTTAACAGGTTAAAGTAAGCTTTTGTAGAATTCCTCTTTAAATTCAGTTTTATGGCAAAACAGCATTGTCTTAATCAAGTCCCTCTCAGGCCATTCAAAAACCAGTGTGGACTGGGAGAGGTGCCAGTCAGACTGGAGCCTCTTTGCTCTGGCACCTCTCTAATGTCTGCACCTACACCTGTATTCCAATGCATGTGTGTATTTGTACTGTGTGTGTATTCCACAAAATATATAAACACAGTGGAAAAGTGAATTTCCACTAGAGGGATCAATAAAGTTTCATCTTAATGATGTATAGTACCAGCAGCCTTTTTCCAGCACTGCAAAAGCTGATCTTCAGTTTAAAAGAATGTTGTTATATGGTGTGTTACACGTTGCGTGCACCACACACAAAACCAGTCTGGCTTTACCACTTACACATCCACAGAGCAGAGAGGAAACATCAGCCAGAAGGCAGTGATGGAGGGGATTGGGCCAAACATGTTGCAGTGAGGGAATTCATGTTAGAGCATTGTGCTCTTCATCTGTGCAGCAGACATGCTCACACATTTATCTCTGAGAGGGAGAGAGTACATTCAAATATTAAAAATGAGATCTAGTAATACATCCAACTGTGTTGATAGGTTACCCTTGAATCGCTCGAGGAGATGTCGTCCGACATACCAGCACGCCGTCTCGAAGTTGGGGAAGGGGGTGAGAGTTCTGACCTTTAGCCGCTTCTCGATTTCATACGCTCTGAGCAAAATAAACAAAGATGTTTCAGCTCAACATTAACATGCATTATCAACAATCTTATTGCAATAAACAATTTAAATTCATAATCAGATTGGTGGAATTTGGAGCTAAAAACAAGTCCTTAATGGAGGAGAAAAGCTCAGCCAGGACAAATCTGAAATGTCATCAAGTCACACCGATCCCCCAAATTAGGACATGACTGTCTGCAGGAGGCATGGCGACAGCAATTAGAATAAAGAATACATATAAACCTGACGATGACAAGGGCAGCGTAAAGGATGAGTGAGTCCTCACCTCATCTGCATCTCCACACTCAGGTTGTGGACAAAGTGTCCCGAGAACGCCAGGCAAGTCCACCGGGGTCAGGATGGCATTGATCCAACCTGAGGGACACAATCACAGTTCAAACACCGCAAGAAACTGTAGGGACATTTATTGTGTCTGTTGAAAGGTAGAACACATTATTATTGCAGTAAAGGTGTTATACTGTTTTTCATCAATATATTATAGGTCTCAGATACAAACATGTCTCCTAAGTGTTTGTTTGAAACACCAAAACAGATCATTGCAGCATTACCCCATAATCCCCTCTGTTATCAACCCTGTTTCCAAAGTGCTGATTCTCTGTCTGTTACTTTAGGTCAGGGGTGGGGAACCTTTTCCTCTCAAGGGCCATTTCAATGTTACAATATCCTCCGAGGGCCGTACAAGTTATTGACCTCTGCTTAACAAAAACTAAAATCACAGATTCATTTGGCCTTTCTTTCATGCTGTGCAAAGAACAACAGCCTCTGAATCCAGATATCTGCACCATGACTCGCGCATGCATTCACGTGCACGGTTGTGGCATGACCACCAAAACAGAAAGATATGGACACAAGATGTGTGCAAAAGTATTTCGTTTCCTATTCATGTGGACAATGATTTAAGTGGGGGGGGACCTAACCTCCGCTAGGGGGGCATGCTCCCCCGGGAAGATTTTTTTTTAAAATGTTGAAGTTAAAAGCATCATCTGGTGCACTTTGAGAGCAACATTAAGAGATCTATGGATACATCTCTCAACACCCCAGATGAAACAGAACTGTAAGCAGATTCATTTTCTTTATGGATATTTTACAAATCACTCTCCTTTCAAACTGTATTCTTGTTTATAATAACAACTTTTTTTACTGTCATATAGTATTTTATACCTGTTTACTTTATTCTCTTATTTTTTTATAACTATAATGATCATATAAAAGATGTGCCTTTACCTCAGTGGTTGTAGAAAAAGCTTCTTATATTCGTTAGCATAGCTAGCTAACCAGATGCTAATAACAACAACGTATTGACAGTAATGACAGATGAACAGATCGCCACTGGGCTTTCAACTAAAGACACAGCCACGCAGAAACTGCAGCATGTGTACGGCTCCTTATGGGTAGCTACTGCAGTTTCTGGAAGTGCCGGAGTGACGTTCTGGTGCTCTCAGTCAGAACTGCACCCCTGTCAGACGAGACATATACCACGTGATGAACACGTTAGGCTCGTGTTGTGTTCAAGGACCCTGACCTTGGCTAGGAAAAACAGGCACTCGCTTGTTTAATTTTTTTGCGGTCTAGATTTCTCACATTTTTTCTTTTTTGCGGATGTGTTTATAAATTACCTCGAGGGCCGTACCAAATTGTCTCGCGGGCCGTATAACGGCACGGGGGCCGGAGGTTCCCCACCCCTGCTTTAGATGAAAACAAGGAGCCCCTCCCCACGCCCTCTGAGAGAGATTTGGTGAAAAAGAACACAATGGTGCTCTAGGAGGAGATTCAGGTGATAAGGTGGGGGGGGGGGGGGGTTACCTTGGTTGCTGATTGGCTAATGGTTTAACAGTGGTTCTCAACTGGTGGGGTCGCGACCCAAAAGTGGGTCGCGGACCTATTTTGAGGGGGTCGCAGGATGTTGTGAGTGAAGAAAAACAAATTGGATTTTTTTTGGGGAAAAAGTCTCAACTTTTATTTTGAAGGCCCGATTTCTTAACGCTGTGCATGCAGTCGGCAGTTGGACTGGAAGTACCGGGGACCATAAACGGTTTTGAAAACTTCTGTCACATAGTGATCATCTTCTCAATAAAATATATTTGCTGATGTTTTTTCGAGTCTTCTGGCCAATCAGAATCAAGATTGTTGCTGTAAGTTCCCCACGGAGAATAACTTTGCGGTAATAGGAGAACTCTTCTTTATACATCCATTGAGTACAACTTCAGATAGAAATGAACACATCATGAAATATGGCCCCGGTTTGATGATTGACAGGTCACAGAACAATGGGAGCTATCTACCCTTACCCACAATTTAAAGTAAGTCACACAGACACATCTCCTCTTTACTCTTCTCGCAGCAAGATGTCAGAACTAAGTGAAAAACAAACAATGGCATAAACCTATTATTAATATGTCGGGTAGTTAATAGATTTGGTAGTAATAGATTTATTTATTTTCTTTCTCAGAGTGTACCAGAATGCATAGTTTATGATAGTATTTCTAAAATCTCCTGGAGAGAATCCCCCCAGACCCCCTGCTGGGGTTGGCGTTTCAGCTTTGATTCCATCATCTCATTAAACCTTTTTTAAAAGCATACTTTAGTTCTGTGAAGGGATATAAGGGATATATGCCACTGTACTTCACTTTTTATTAATATTGTATGCTGAAAAGTATATATATTACAGCACGATTTTTTTGTTGAATAGATTTGAGTGCTTCAAAATGTTGGGTCGCGATGTATTGACCAAAAAGTAAAAAGTGGGTCCCGAGCATACTTGCCAACCCTCCCGATTTTCGCGGGAGACTCCCGATTTCATTGCCCTCTCCCGGTTTACTCCCGGGGGTCATATTTCTCCCGCATTTCTCCCGATTTTCTGACAAAATCAGATTTACCACGACTTAATACAGCTACACCATTGTTTGGTTTCCATGGTAGCGCGCACAACTGACAGGTCTGCGAGGGTGAGGAAGATGAGATAAGTCACAGAAAACAGAACAAGAATCGACAACTTCCACCCTCTGCTCACTCCTTTCCATCAAGGATGGTGCTACAGGCCGCAAGACAGTGCACTTCTTAAAAACTACAATAAGCATGAAATGCTCCCGATTTCTGAGCGGTCTCAAGGTTGGCAAGTATGGTCCCGAGGCCTGACACGTTGAGAACAACTGGGTTACACAAGACAAAACATCATTATGACTACACAAAGTGGCCAAAATCTGATCAGCTCATTTTCAGACAGGTTTTTATAGAAATGGACCAAGACTGGGAAAAGAGAGAGAACTCTTGTGTCCTGAAACTTTCAGAGTCTCTTTCCACAGAGGGACACAGTTGATGTAGAAGAGACATGAAGAAGAGGGGACAACATGTTGATGTAGAAGAGACATGAAGAAGAGGGGACACATGTTGATGTAGAAGAGACATGAAGAAGAGGGGGACACATGTTGATGTAGAAGAGACATGAAGAGAGGGGACACGTGTTGATGTAGAGAGACATGAGAAGAGGGGACACATGTTGATGTAGAAGAGACATGAAGAAGAGGGGACACATGTTGATGTAGAAGAGACAGGAAGAAGAGAGGGGACACATGTTGATGTAGAAGAGACATGAAGAAGAGGGGACACATGTTGATGTAGAAGAGACATGAGAAGAGGGGACACGTGTTGATGTAGAAGAGAAATGGAGAAGAGGGGGACACGTGTTGATGTAAGAAGAGACATGGAGAAGAGGGGACACGTGTTGATGTAGAAGAGACATGAAGAAGAGGGGACACGTGTTGATGTAGAAGAGACATGAGAAGAGGGGACACGTGTTGAGGTAGAAGAGACATGAAGAAGAGGGGACACTGTTGATGTAGAAGAGACATGAGAAGAGGGGAACATGTTGATGTAGAAGACATGAAGAAGAGGGGACACATGTTGATGTAGAAGAGACATGAAGAAGAGGGGACACATGTTGATGTAGAAGAGACATGGAGAAGAGGGGACACATGTTGATGTAGAAGAGACATGAAGAAGAGGGGACACATGTTGATGAAGAAGAGACATGAAGAAGAGGGGACACATGTTGAGTCGAAGAGACATGAGAAGAGGGGACACATGTTGATGTAGAAGAGACATGACGAAGAGGGGACACATGTTGATGTAGAAGAGACATGAAGAAGAGGGGACACATGTTGATGTAGAAGAGACATGAAGAAGAGGGGACACATGTTGATGTATAAGAGACATGAAGAAGAGGGGACACATGTTGATGTAGAAGAGACATTGAAGAAGAGGGGACACATGTTGATGTATAAGAGACATGAAGAAGAGGGGACACATGGTGATGTTAGAAGAGACATGAAGAAGAGGGGACACATGTTGATGTAGAAGAGACATGAAGAAGAGGGGACACGTGTGATGTAGAAGAGACATGAAGAAGAGGGGACACATGTGATGTAGAGAGACATGACGAAGAGGGGGACACATGTTGATGTAGAAGAGACATGAAGAAGAGGGGACACATGTTGATGTAGAAGAGAGACATGAAGAAGAGGGGACACTGTGATGTAGAAGAGACATGGAGAAGAGGGGACACATGTTGATGTAGAAGAGACATGAAGAAGAGGGGACACATGTTGATGTAGAAGAGACTGACGAAGAGGGGACACATGTTGATGTAGAAGAGACATGAAGAAGAGGGGACACATGGAGTAGAAGAGAATGAAGAAGAGGGGACACATGTTGATGTATAAGAGACATGAAGAAGAGGGGACACATGTTGATGTAGAAGAGACATGAAGAAGAGGGGACACATGTTTGATGTAGAAGAGACATGAAGAAGAGGGGACACATGTTTGTAGAAGAGACATGAAGAAGAGGGGGACACATGTTGATGTATAAGAGACATGAAGAAGAGGGGACACATGTTGATGTAGAAGAGGACATGAAGAAGAGGGGACACATTTTGATGTAGAAGAGACATGAAGAAGAGGGGACACATGTTGATGTAGAAGAGACATGAAGAAGAGGGGGACACATGTGATGTAGAAGAGACATGGAGAAGAGGGGACACATGTTGATGTAGAAGAGACATGAAGAAGAGGGGACACATGTTGATGTAGAAGAGACATGGAGAAGAGGGGACACATGTTGATGTAGAAGAGAAATGAAGAAGAGGGGACACATGTTGATGTAGAAGAGACATGGAGAAGAGGGGACACATGTTGATGTAGAAGAGACATGAAGAAGAGGGGACACATGTTGATGTAGATAGAAGAGACATGAAGAAGAGGGGACACATGTTGATGTAGAAGAGACATGAAGAAGAGGGGACATGTTGATGTAGAAGAGACATTAGAAGAGGGGACACGTGTTGATGTAGAAGAGACATGAAGAAGAGGGGACACGTGTGATGTAGAAGAGACATGAAGAAGAGGGGACACATGTTGATGTAGAAGAGACATGAGAAGAAGGGGACACTGTTGATGTAGAAGAGACATGGAGAGGAGGGGACATGTTGATGTAGAAGAGACATGAAGAAGAGGGGACACGTGTTGATGTAGAAGAGACATGAAGAAGAGGGGACACGTGTTGATGTAGAAGAGACATGAAAGAAGAGGGGACACGTGTTGATGTAGAAGAGACATGGAGAAGAGGGGAACCATGTTGTGTAGAAGAGACATGAAGAAGAGGGGACACATGTTGATGTAGAAGAGACATGGAGAAGAGGGGACACATGTTGATGTAGAAGAGACATGAAGAAGAGGGGACACATGTTGATGTAGAAGAGACTGAAGAAGAGGGACACATGTTGATGTAGAAGAGACATGAAGAAGAGGGGGACACATGTTGAGTAGAAGAGACATGAAGAGAGGGGACACTGTTGATGAGAAGAGACATGAAGAAGAGGGGACACATGTTGATGTAGAGAAGAGACATGAAGAAGAGGGGACACATGTTGTGTAGAAGAGACATGAAGAAGAGGGGACACATGTTGAGTAGAAGAGACATGAAGAAGAGGGGACCATGTTGAGTAGAAGAGACTGAAAGAGGGACACATGTTGATGTAGAAGAGACATGAAGAAGAAGAGGGGGACACATGTTGATGTAGAAGAGACATGAAGAAGAGGGGACACGTGTTGATGTAGAAGAGACATGAAGAAGAGGGGAACATGTTGATGTAGAAGAGACATGGAGAAGAGGGGACACATGTTGATGTAGAAGAGACATGGAAGAAGAGGGGACACATGTTGATGTAGAATAGACATGAAGAAGAGGGGACACATGTTGATGTAGAAGAGACATGAAGAAGAGGGGACACATGTTGATGTAGAAGAGACATGAGAGAGATGAAGAGAGGGGACACGTGTTGATGTAGAAGAGACATGAAGAAGAGGGGACACATGTTGATGTAGAAGAGACATGGAGAAGAGGGGACACATCTTTGATGTAGAAGAGACATGAAGAAGAGGGGACACCATGTTGATGTAGAAGAGACATGAAGAAGAGGGGACACGTGTTGATGTAGAAGAGACATGAAGAAGAGGGGACACACTTTTTTTTTTTAACTCTTTAACCCTGATTTCTCCTACATGTAGCAGATTTTGAAATACACACTTGTTTTAATGAATTAACATTACATATTAGGTTTAATTAAAAAGCATAAACACAAGACATCCCATTTACAGAGACAAAACAAAGTGACAAGAAGCTGGAAGTATGTTTCAGTTTATTGCATTGACTAATTAATTCTCAATGTTGAACAATTGTGCTAATAAAAGTGTTCTCCTCTATTTTATACACACAGACTCCACTTCCTTTGGTCTCCGATCTGAACTCTTTCTGCCTGGTTTGTTATATTGGATAAGATACCTGATGGGATGAACAGCGGTCTGCCCTTGCTTCAGAGTGCATTTGTAACAACTTGTCCACCTGGTCGGCAAAGAACATCTCCGCTGTGATTGGACGACGACCCTTCCAGCGCTCGTACAGAGACAGGGTTGGCAGAGGTGGGCTTGATGAGAAAGAAGATCTTCTCCCCCTGCAAACACAATCACATGTTCTAGCACCATCACTATCGTATGAGAGATAAGGTGTTGATGTTTCACAACAGGCGTGACGCTGAGAGTGACAGACCTTCAGGACGTGGTACAGACGGAGGCGCCACCACACTCGATGTGGAAGTCTGTTGTAGCTGTCTTTGACACAGATCAGACAGTATTTTGTGACTTTTTTGGCTTCCCACGCAGAGCATCATCAGGCCAGTAGTTTTCTACCCAGGACAACTGACGTACAATGTGTGGACTTCACCAAGTATTCATCCTGACGCAGCAAAGAGAAACAAGATGAGTACAAGGACTTTTCACTTCATTAAAAATCACGTCAGGTAAAGAGCATGTTACCTTGTGTCAGGAGAACTCCAAGTTTGATTGACATTTCAACACTTTCTTTCTGTTTGTGCTGTAGTAAAATCTACAAAATTCTTTGAGCTTCATCTTTGCTGTCGGTCTGTTTGGTGACGTCAACCACGTCCACACCACATCTGGACCCTGAGAAAAAAGGGGACAAAACATGATAAAAGCTGAAGAAAATTAACCGCTACTGGCTAAACATCTTCTTCTGTCCATGTGTTACACGTGAGCACAGAGGCAATGAAGACACATGTACCTACCCCCATTTAAAACGTTTATTTGATGCAGGTATTTTTATTTACTAATAAACACAAACAGTTTGAAAGGATCACTTTGAATACAGACTGGGCAGCAGACCTAAGTCCTTGGGTGGGCATTTCATATGTGAGGGCATGCCCATGGTATAACAACATTGCTTAAAAGCTAATCTTGCTGATTCATTTCAAGCATATATCTGTATCTAATCGTATGAGCGTCTTGAATGTCAGTTGACTGAAAACAACACAGTTAAAGTGCATCTCAGAAACAAAAACGACATTTCCCGGAACATCACCGATATATTCTCTGTAAGGGAGTCCGGCAATTCTTTGGACAAACATGCTCTATTTTGTACATTCTGGCCTCATTTACATAAAGAGAACATACTCAAACATTGGGAAAATGTCAATGTGTAAACATTATACCGCAAACACATGTGCATTTTGAAGATTACATATCAATTGTGATGTAAGAATGTTCATGCTCTGCCATAGCTCCTCTTCTGACAACACACACACACACACACACACACACACACACACCACACACACACACACACACCACACACACACAAACACACACAACACACACACACACACACACACACACACACACACACAACACACACACCACACAACACACACACACACACACACAACACACACACACCACACACACACACCAGAGGGGACCAAGTCCAAGTCCTAAACTTTGACAAAACGAGTCATAAACAAGTCATTATGTGTTTTTCACCAAATGTAATGACATCGATCAACAGAATGATACTTAATAATCAAACAGCTCTTTATTAGTCACATTAATAATTTAATAATCCATTTTCTCTCTGCTGGTAAAGTAACGTGTTTTTTCTATTTGAAGAGGGATCAGTAAAGTAAGGCTACCGTGACGGTTTGATCAGAAGGAGTTTAATGGATAAGATCCCTGATGTTAAGGTGACCAGAATGTTTATTTCCACTGTGTACAACATGTTATAAGGGACCCACAATCTATCTTTATGCAAGGTTGATAATGTGCAGCCAGGCGGTCTCTATGGGGAAGAGAACACCTGCATCTAGATCCCTCTGCAGGTGGTACTATTAAGTATATTTTGATGATAATACTTTTCTACTTTTACTTGTAACATTTGAATGCAGGACTTTTTATCGTAACCGAGGATTCTACACTCTGGTTACTTTTACTCAAGTACAAGATCTGAACTTCTCCCACCTCTGACAATAAATCCTGAGTGGTTTACCAAAAAGAAAACCCCTGCTCTGAAGGTTAGTTTCATTTTACAGATCTGCACTCAGCTTTGGCTATTTCTCCATATCATTGAAAAGCAGCCAGAGCTGCTTCTTTTTCGGTTTTCGCTCATTTCTTGCCTTTTTCCGACGCGCTTGCCATTTAAATCCGTCTCCCCGTCGCTCTGTGCAGCTGGCCTGTACCACTAGCTATCTTTGTGCCCCCACCCTTCTTTCACATAATGGTATTATCCTAGTGTGTCCTCACATATGATTGGCCGCATGGTGGCCCCTAAATAAAGACCCGCCCCTGCCTGCAAGGATTCTCAGCAAGAGTAGGAGCGGTCTGAAGATTATTCTCTTTCCCCGACGGGAGTCTGCTCTCTTCTAGCGGCAGCTCGCGATCGGCGTGTTGGAGACCTCTGAATTAAAGTATCAAGTCACCTCAAGTCAGAAGGCTCAAGTCCAAGTCAAGTCCCGAAGTCATTGGTGTTCAAGTCCAAGTCGAGTCGCAAGTCTTTTGTGATTGTGTCAAGTCGAGTCTCAAGTCATCAAATTGGTGACTCGAGTCTGACTCGAGTCCAAGTCATGTGACTCGAGTCCACACAGCTCTGACACACACACACAAACAAACAAACAAACCACCCTCCGTTTATTCTGACAGACTGTTAGGTCTATCTCACACTCACACACGTTTATTTTCACTAATATGTTACAGACCCAGACATTTTTAACCGGCTGTATTTCTCCTGGGAGGGCCCAAAACTCTACTATTACTGCATTCAATATACAGCAGTAATAGTAGTGATGATAGAACTCATTGAAGTTGTACTGCAGTAGGCTGGTTGTAGTACTAGTACACAAGTAATATTGTAGTAATAGCACATGTTGTAGTTGCAATACTGCAGTATTTATAGTAACAGTAGTTAAGTCATTAGCTACCAGAAGTTAGCAGAGAGCAGTACTGCAGTATTTATAGTAACAGTAGTTAAGTCATTAGCTAACAGAAGTTAGCAGAGAGCAGTACTGCAGTATTTATAGTAACAGTAGTTAAGTCATTAGCTAACAGAAGTTAGCAGAGAGCAGTACTGCAGTATTTATAGTAACAGTAGTTAAGTCATTAGCTAAACAGAAAGTTAGCAGAGAGCAGTACTGCAGTATTTATAGTAACAGTAGTTAAGTCATTAGCTAACAGAAGTTAGCAGAGAGCAGTACTGTAGTATTTATAGTAACAGTAGTTAAGTCATTAGCTAACAGAAGTTAGCAGAGAGCAGTACTGTAGTATATTTATAGTAACAGTAGTTAAGTCATTAGCTAACAGAAGTTAGCAGAGAGCAGTACTGTAGTATTTATAGTAACAGTAGTTAAGTCATTAGCTAACAGAAGTAGCAGGAGAGCAGTACTGTAGTATTTATAGTAACAGTAGTTAAGTCATTAGCTAACAGAAGTTAGCAGAGAGCAGGTACTGCAGTATTTATAGTAACAGTAGTTAAGTCATTAGCTAACAGAAGTTAGCAGAGAGCAGTACTGCAGTATTTATAGTAACAGTAGTTAAGTCATTAGCTAACAGAAGTTAGCAGAGAGCAGTACTGTAGTAGCTGCTCAGATTCTTACCAACGTAGTTCTCCACATCACTGATGTAGAAGGTGGGGGGGGGCACGCTCAGGCCCAGACCCTCCTTCTTCAGAACCAGGAGGGGCTCGTTGAAGCCCCCGTCCTCAAGGTAATCCATGGTCAGCTGACCGCCGCTCAGCTTCACCACAACATCATCAGCACTGACACACACACACAAAACAATTTTAAAGCAGAATTTGAAAAGTAATTTGATACTGCCCCCTAGTGGGCTTATTGTTAAGTGAGGAATACTTTGGGAGATTGACAACTCTTTAGAGTCACTAATGACATTTCAAGAAGCCTAATCAACATTGACAGTTAAATAGAGTGTATTAAATGGGAGATCTGATTCTGATTATTCAGAACATTTCCCACTTCATCTCACAGGACTCCTCTGTTTGTAGTTCAGTAATGAGACATGAGGACAGCAGGATGTGTGTCATGTCTTTACCTTGGAAAGGTCCTGCTGCGCAGCTCCTTTATGAAAACCTGGCTGCCGTTCTGAACAGCTTTGATATCTGTGCTTTGTCCTGTGTCATGTTTGCTCCAGTTCTTTTTCTTTTTCACTGAAAAACAGAAAAACAAATGACATTCAAGAACAGTAACCATGCAGAACAACACAGGCAGACATGACCTGGGGGCCTCATTTATACACGGTGGCGTACGCTCAAAAGATGGCGTACGCCAGTTTCTAAGCAATGTTTGCGATTTATAAAAACAACTTGACGGGAAAAGTGTGCGGTCCTCCACGACAAACTCGGACCCATCCGTATGCGGTACGCACAAAAACGGGAGAGAGACGAGAAAACTGCGACCAAACCATTGGCAGAAGGAAGAATGGAGAGAAATATTGTGAAAATAATACCATAAATATAATGTTACCCTCTCATGTAGGCTATCATATAGTAAGAATTATTCGCAAAAACTGATTGAAGCCAATCTTAAAATGATTTAATAAACGCCTGTTTGAGACTCCTCAGTGCACACAAAAACGTAACTTGGAGAAATAAATATATACAGATATGTTATTGAAAACCACCTCGAATATGTTGTCTTAATGTCCCCACCTTATGTTATGACATGTATTCTCATAAATGATGCGGTATGCAGGAGGACAGAATTACGTCCAAACTGAGGCCGTTTTGCATTTCTATAGGTTATATAGATACGATGCATGGTTTTTATATACTATCAATGGCGACCTGCTCATTAGGGGCAGGTGCCCCTGGTCATTAGGGGCACAGCCCCACCTAGTGTCAGCAGAAAGTATTACAAATAATGATTACAACAAAATGCAAAAAAAAAAAAATATATAAAATATATTTTAAGGTCATGTTTAATCATCTGATTCGTTCTGTACATTTGCTGTTTTAGTCTGTGTTCTTCTAATTAGTGTCTACAGTGTGTGCCTATTGAGCTGTTTAGAGCCATGTGGGACAAAAACCCGATCCTGCCCCTCCCTCTCACTGTCTAAATTAATGGTGACTGTAAAAACTACACTGTGCATGCTCAGAATATTGTCCTATTTAAGTGTGGTGGCAAAAAAATAATGACCATAGGGGCACTGAGCTGCCATCCCCACCATACGTCATCTCACATAATTCAGAGCTGATTGGCTGTAAGTACGTGTGCCGCGAAAAGTGTGGTGTGTGAAGAGGAGGCAAAAGTGGTGCGTCCTAAAACCAGGAAGTAAGCTGCTCATGGGTTCCCTCGACAAAAAAACAATGAGATTTCTCCATAGGATTTTAGAAAATAGCTCCAAATAAGATCTGTGGGAAACGTAGCCGTTAGATAAATGCACATTTTGTTCAGCCGGATAATATCCACATGTCTACCCTACTTTTATAATTTTCAAATCATAAATCTATCGATTACATTTATGATAGACTTTTGAAAACTACAAGAAGATAAGGAGGACTTTTACAAAAAAGTAATAGAGGTTTTTGTCCAGAAGGATAGGCAAATGGACTTCATCTTCAAGTCAAGGTAAGACCACCATTTTATTGAAAATGGGATCTTACTAAGAGAGAACAATTCAATATTTAAATGATAAAATTACATTTTGTGGGTATCCTTTTGTTGAACTGTCTGTTTAAAATTAATCGAAGCATCAGACTAAAGAGGCTTTGAAAATAATATTATATTTTGATTTAGGTCAAAATATAATATTTGTAAACCTGAAGAGTCAGTGCCAGTGCCTCACCAGCCATGAACCTCACTGCAGAAGGTTATATATAGACATCTAAGTGTTTTTGTGGCCCCACCAACAATTTGTACATATAAAACCGCCACTGTATACTATCATGTTGATAATCATGTTTTATGCTGTTTGCTAAGACTTGATTAGTCGCTAATAAATCACAGGAGGTATGGAAACTAAGAACACCCATATATTTGGTAGATTTGGCAGCTGATATTACACAACACAGTTGTTTTATTTCCTTTAACTGGTGGATATAGAGTTGCTGCGGGGGGGGTTGAGACGCACAGGCTGCAGTGGAGACGCTGCGCACAGCTGATCGACAGCTGGAACACAAACCACCAAATAAAAAAATAAACATGAATTGACTCCACTCCGCCAGTGGATCCCCCCGATACTTTCTTACAGTTACTCATCAAGGGGGGTCTGGCACAAACACACTGCCTGAGGTAGGCTATGTGTATTTTGTCATTAACTTTTTTCGGACCCACTTATTTATTTATTTTGGTGACGATCCGACCTCCATGCTGCTACTCTGGTTCAAACTGCATCCACCAAACAATGTGATTTATCTCCACCTCCCCAAAATAACCAAAATCTGACACGGTGTGAAATTTATTTTTTAGCTGTTCTGTCGTCATTTCTGCTATCTTCTTCATGCAGTCAGTCAGAATGAATATTAATACGGGCGTTTCTTTTGACTATTTATAGGCAAATATGGGCGTTACGTGAAAACCGGCGTAGGACGTGTCGCACGCATCGGAAAATGTCTGTGCGTATTTATTTGCTTTGTCCTACGTAAGCAACCTTCCCACGTGAATCCTACGCAAGGCTTTATAAATGAGGCCCCCTGAAACACATCATTTTATTTCATATTAAGACATTTAATAATGTTTTTCTTAGAAACACAGTTTGATTTGGAGGGGAACTCTGAGCTAGTTAGCACTACTTGCTACTTACAGGTGGATTTGCCGTGGTTCTTCTCACAGTTTGGACAGTGATAGTATGTCAATATCTGGAGCGTCATCTTCATCCACCTCAACACAGCTGAAACAGAAGCATGGTTTAAAGGTTAGGAATGTGAGCATAAAGAGCGTTCTGCAGAGGCATGTGGACGCTGCTGGGCTCTGAGGTCTCTGCCTGCTGTCATGGTGACAGCATGCATGTTTTCAGTTGTAACCATTATTTTAATGATCAAAACATCTCTGGCTGTGAAAACTGAGTAGCCAATGGGGACACACCCTGAAAGTCCCGCCCACCTGAGAGGTTTGTGTCAGAATCGCAAACAAAAAATGACCGAGCCCAAAGAGAGAGCTGCAGCGTAACCACAGAGCCCCCATAGAGAGCAAACGTCTGATCATTGAGAAAGAAGCAAAGGAAACTGCAAAACAATAAGAGATGTTAGAAAAGAAAAAATACTAACATGAGTAAAACAATTATATACTTATACTTTTGAAATTACATTATCTTTGCTTGACTTAAAAAAAAAAAAAAAGGTTATCAAACTCTTATTTTGCTTGATACTGAGAAAGACACACACTGCTGGTGGCCTTGAGCACATATGAAGTCAAACAAAACTCTATTGCTGGAGCTTGCATTGCAAAGTTTCAAGTTATCAACTTAAAGGGGACCTGTGCTGTCTAAGACGCTGTCCTTACTCCAGCCAGGCAGGTGGTGCTGTTGCTTTTTGTTTCTTCTTCTTTTGTTATACCAGCCAATGGGAAAGACTTACATTAAAAACATAGGAAGTGATACCCACATGTGAGTCGTGGTTGAAAGGGACATTGTTTGAATCTGCAATCCATCCTTCTTTGCTATGTTCTAATTTCAATGTATATTGTGTTTTCTTTCAGTTTTACTTCCGTTGACTTGTGGATGTAAACATCTTATTAAAGAAGATAAACGCTTTCCACTTGTCGAGGAGTTATCTGTCTGCATATCTGTACTCATAACGACAGTGAGGGCAGAACAGTAAAAAGCAGATTCGTCTACATCATCAAAGTATCAGGTGGATACACACGTCAGTCTTCCCTAAGAAACTAAACATGTCTCAGCCAGGAGATAATGAATCAGTCCACACTCATGCATCAAAATCATCAAAGGGCTCCAGTAAGTCATCTGCCAGCTTGGCTGCGGTCAATGCACGGGCTAGAGCGGAGGCAGCACTAGCCAGAGCGGCCTATGCTCAAAAGGAAATCGAATTGAGAGTAAAACAAGCAGAACACAGAGTGGAAGAAACACGTCTGGAGGCTACATTGGAAGCGCTTCATCAGGAACAAGATGCAGAGGCAGCTCTCGCTGAAGCTAATGTGTACGAAGCTGCGACAAGCGAAATAGAAGAAGACCGCATAAGCGTTCGCTTCCCACAGACATTTCACCCATTAGAACGCACAAGCGAGTATGTGAATGACCAATTTCTCCAAAATGAGAAATCAACTCCACATGCAGCCCTGAAGCCTAACGAGGCTCCAGCGGACTCCACATTTAACCAACTCAAGCAGGAAGTTGAAATGCCTGACCCGAGATCTCCATACACGTTGCTGCCTTGCAAGAACAACGCAAATGACAGAGCATCTCAGCTACCTAAGAGCTTTGCAGTGCATGAACAACCACAATGGTCAAGTCCTCTGATTCACCCACAAGAAACCTCAAGTATTTCTGACCTTCCCAGATTTCTAGCTAGACGTGAGTTGCTCACTGGAGGTCTTACAAGGTTTAGCGACAAGCCAGGTGACTACTGGGCATGGAAATCCTCATATGAAAATGCATCCAAGGTCTACATCTAACAGCTAGTGAAGAGCTTGACTTGTTGACTAAGTGGTTAGGCGACAAATCCTCACAACATGCAAAACGCCTCAGAGCAGTGCATATTAACTACCCTTCCCTCGGTCTGAACAAAGTGTGGGAGAGACTTCAAGAGTGTTATGGATCTCCTGAGTCCTTAGAAAAGGCTATGTTTGATAGGCTAGAACAGTTCCCCAGAATTACCAACAAGGAGCCTCATCTGTTACGGGACCTTGGTGACCTACTGTTAGAGATTGACTCTGCTAAGAGCGAAGGACACATACCAGGATTGCTGTACCTCGACACGGCACGTGGAATCCATCCCATAGTGGATACACTTTTCATTTGGCCTGCAAGAGAAATGGATGACGCACGGAACCAGATACAAAAGCGATTATTCTGTCATTCCCTCCATTTTTCGGTCTTTGCCACCTTCATTAAAGATGAGGCCAAAATGAGAAATGACCCCAGTTTCATGTCTATGGTTCCACCCACCTTCACGACCTTCAAAGCAGACAAGCATCTGGAAAAACACGACAAATCAAAAATGCCTATCACAGTCCACAGAACAGAAGTGGTTAGCTCCGAACAAATGCCAAGTGCTGAAAAAACCACTACAGACCCAAGCAAAGAGTGTCCCATCCACAAAAAACCTCATCTACTCAAAAAATGCAGGTTATTCCGAGAGGCGTCTCTGGAAGAACGTAAGGCTTATCTGAGACAAAATCAGATATGTTTCCAATGCTGTGCTTCTTCCAGCCATCAAGCAAAGAACTGTAAGATGGAAATCCACTGTTCAGAATGTGAAAGTAACTCACATATCAGTGCTCTCCACGCTGGTCCTGCACCATGGGCGACACACAGGTTTGCAGGACCTGCCTTTGATCACGACGGGGAGCAAGGCTCAGCTTCACCCATTGCCACCATTGTGTGGAAATAAGATCGGTGGACACTCATGTGCCAAGATTTGCCTCGTTGATGTCTATCCAAAGGATCACTATGACAAGCGACTCAGAGCTTATGCTATCTTGGACGATCAGAGCAACAGGTCTCTGGCTAGATCTTCCTTCTTCGATATCTTTGGGATCGACAAAAACTGTTCTCCATACACTCTTAAGACATGTGCAGGTGTTTCAAAGGTGACTGGGAGAAGAGCGAGTAATTCATAGTGGAATCAGCAGATGGCCAATCCAGTCTGGCTTTGCCCACGCTTATCGAATGCGACATGCTTCCTGACAATCGAAATTAAATACCAACTCCTGAAGCCGCTCACTATCATCCACATCTCAAGGACGTTGCTACAGAGATCCCAGCACTCGATCCCAAGGCTGATATTCTGTTGCTACTTGGAAGAGATGTTATTCAGACCCACAAGGTGCTCGAGCAGTGCAACGGGCCCCTAAATGCTCCATTCGCACAGAAGTTAGCTCTGGGGTGGGTTATGTTGGTGATGTCTGTCTTGGCGGGGCTCACAACCCTGGACATGTAAATGTTCTCAAGACAAACATCTTGGAAAATGGAAGAACAAGCTACTTCCTTCCATGTCAAAACAGCATGCAGGTAAAGGAACGTTTTGATTGCCAAGACCGCGACAGGATGGACTCTAAGGCAGACACCATGGGAGATACAGTCTTTCAGTCTACTAGCGCAGACGAGAAACCTGCCTACTCCATAGAAGAAAGAACCTTCCTGCAGATAATGGAGAAGGAAGTTTACCAATATGACTCAAACAGCTGGGTGGCTCCGTTGCCCTTCCGCTCTCCAAGACCACGTCTCCCCAACAACAAACAGCAAGCAAGTCAACGCCTCTCCTCAGTTCGTCGCACGCTGAAGAAGCGACCTGAAACAAGACAACACTTTGTGGACTTTATGGAAAATATATTTGTCAGCGGTCATGCAGAACCGGCACCCCCACTCAAAGAACATGAGGAATGCTGGTATCTTCCCTTCTTTGGGGTTTATCACCCTCATAAGCCAGAACAAATCAGGGTGGTCTTGGACTCGAGCACTCAACACCATGGAGTGTCTTTAAATGATGTCCTTCTCACAGGCCCCAATCTCAACAACAGCCTGCTGGGTGTCCTTATGCGGTTCCGCGAAGAGCGAGTGGCAGTAACTACTGACATCAAGCAGATGTTCTATTGCTTCTTGGTACGAGAAGATCACAGGAACTTCTTACGCTTCCTTTGGCACCGGAACAACGACTTGGAGCAACCCATAGTGGAGTACCGCATGAGAGTGCACGTCTTCGGGAACAGTCCATCACCTGCCGTGGCAAACTACGCGCTCAGAAAGGCATCCAAAGACCTAGTTGAGCGTCACTTCTATGTTGACGATGGTCTCATCTCATTTCCATCGGGAAATGAGGCCGTTGCAGCTCTCAAGGCGGCCCAAGAAACGCTAGCTGCATCCAACTTAAAGCGGCACAAGATAGCTTCTAACAGCATCGAAGTGATGAAAGCCTTTCCAAAAGAGGATCTTGCAAAAGGCTTAAAAGACCTCGATCTTGGAGCAGACTTTCCACCCATGTTACGAAGTCTAGGAATAAGCTGGGACGTTACCACTGACGAGTTCACCTTCCAGGTGTCCAGGGCAGAGAAACCTTACACTCGCAGAGGGGTGTTATCGACCTTAAATAGCCTCTACGACCCGCTTGGTTTTGCAGCTCCAGTCAGCATTAAAGGTAGAGCCCTGCTAAGAGAGTTTACAACGGAGGCCTGCGAGTGGGACGAACCCCTTCCTGAAAAGAAGCTTAAAGACTGGTGTGAGTGGAAAGACTCTATCAAAGATCTGGAACACGTCCGCATTCCAAGGACATACACTGCCATCCCCCTGAGCAGTTCAACACACAGGGAGCTTTGTATTTTCTGCGACGCCTCTACACAAGCCATAGCAACTGTAGCCTACATTAAAGTAACAGATGCAGAAGGCAAAAGTAAACTTGGATTTCTGTTCGGCAAGGCTAAGCTTGCGCCGCAACCAGAGGTGACAGCCATTGTGAACACAAGACCTCTCATCCCAGTGTCCACCGACCCAAGCTTTCCTATCATCCTAACACCAGCTACCCTCCTAACCCAGAAGGTTGGCATTCCATCAATACCTCCTGGTGACTTCAAAGACAGTGACCTCTACAAACGCCAGTGGAAGCAGGTGCAACATCTCGCAAACGCTTTCTGGCATCGTTGGAAAAACCAATACCTCTCTACCCTACAAGGCCACAGGAAATGGCAATCGGAGAGACCTAACCTGCAAGAAGGGGACCT